GACTTTTGCTATGCTTGGAAAATTTCGGTTAATGCGTATTTTGTTTTTCAACGATTTTTGGCTTTGTACTTTTAAAGTTATTTTCCCGCACGATTTATTCTAATTTCAGGACTAACAAGGAGTGCTTTTTTTGAGTCGTTCGATAGACCGTTCGACGTTCGTTCGTTCGACCTTACGAGACCTAACTCATTCGATAGAGAATTCCATTCTGAGCAAGACTCCTTTGTTCTTTTTTGCAGAATGGCTATCCCTGATTTTATAAAATTAAAATAATAGTGACCGTCTCTTACCATGAGTGCCTTTCGAGCCAAGAAAGAGCCTTTCGGGTTGCAGTTTTAAAATTTATAAAATCAGGGATAGCCATTCCGCAAAAAGGACAACGGAGTCTTGATCATAATTGAATTTTCTATCGAATGAGCTAGGTCTCGTGAGGTTGGAATAACGCTCTAGCGGATGACATCTAATTTGAATATTACCGGCCTCAGGCCAGCTTTTGACGCGACAACCTTTTTAGCATGGTCTGCCCACCTTTCTGCCCTTCTTTTGCATGCCCCTCCCCGGGTTTTGAATGAATCACGAATGGGCCCCCTCGTTTTCGTCGTCCACTCGGCCCGGCGAGTCCGTTAATACATTAATGTGGCTGGGAAAGAGCAGGCGAGGCGAGGGCTGAACCGTTTCCAACCTTTTTGCCCATAGCACCACGGCCTAACCAGTCATGGGAGGGAGGTACGGCCTGGAGACGGAGTGCCATTTAGCGAGCATCACCGGGGCTTGACCATGCACTTTTTGCGCTACCGTAATCCCTTTAATTTTTGGGTTGTACTTTGGACAGGTCTAGGTTTCGGATTTTTATTAATTAAATAAAACTCTAAACTAAAATAAAAGTTTGTAAAATGCTACCACAAAACCGTTTATAATGCCGCAAAAAAATTTTCGAACGTACTCCCGTCTTGGAATTTCGGAATTTTTGTGCTTTGGTATCTGATATAAACTTTAAAAAGCCTGCAAATAAGACTAAAATATAGTTAATTATTTTTACTTGTTTTGAACAATAATTTTAGCAGTCGAGCTATCGTAATTTTATTAAGATTTTTTGTTTATGTTAAATTATGGATTCTAAAAAGCTGAAAACTTTTAATTAAAAATTCGGGCTTTCAATGTAATTTTTAATTTTAATCGTATTTAAGTTTGGTTAATTGTACTCATATATTATATAAAAATGTTTAGTTAGCGTTTTTTGCGCTTCTAAATTGCTATTAAACTAGGCTTTATTTTCTAAAGTGTTTCCAATTCTTATTAATTTACTATAACTTAACCCTTGCCGACCCATTAGTATACCTTCATGCTTCTGGTTCTATTTATTGACATTGCTCTTTTCTATTTTCCACCCGGCATCCATCCACCCGTCCATCCCCATCCGCTGGGTAAAGGAGTGTTGTGTAGTGGGGCGGGATAGTGGGGGTGGAGCTGTGCGTGTGGCCCCAGCTGTTTGACCTTTTTCCACACCGTGGGGGGCTTCAGGAAGAAAGCGAGATCGGCGAGGAGGACTATACCTCCCCCCTATCCAATGCCATTCCAACGAACACCAAAAAACACCGCCGTCGAGAGCACCTTGATGGCAATCTTACTTCTCAATCAAGATAATTCTCCTGAATTTGCATAGGACTTGACTTTCGGGTAGTTTAAAGGGCCTGTGAAGTCTACTGTAGGATTTTGCTATGGCTCTATGGGTTTTGAAAGTGTTTAAAAGGCTCTAGAAGACGATGACAGGATCGGATTGGAACGATTTTTGCACGATTCGTAAGCTTATGATTTCAATTTGCTTTTCCTCTCACTTTAAAGGGGTTGTGAAGTTGCTATAGTTTTTGTTCTACTGAACTTCAAGGTTAGAAACCCCCCGAGTAAAAAGGGGGGGGTTTTCAACCAAAAGAGGGGGGACCCCCCCCTTTAAAAAGGTTTTGAGGGTAAATCTTTTTTTGGGGGGGAACTTTAAAAATCTCCAGAAGACGTCAAGAGGAATGGAACGGAAAAATTGCTGTACCATGAGAAAACTCTGGAAAAGGCGATCGAGAAAAATTCCCTGCTTTGACTAGTTTTCCAAAATTCCATTTATTCTTTGAAGTATTATGATTTATTTACTCTGATTAATGTTTATTGTTATTTATGATATTAGCAGAGTCTATCGTCATTTTTAAATGTTCAATTTCCCGGATACTTGAAAGTTTTGAAATGCCAGCTTTTCCCGATTCAAAAACCGATTTCACGCTACTTTTCCATAGTCTTTTATGCATTTAGCAATTCCCCTTCTTCCCACCCCACTTTTTCTTACTTCCCGATATCTATTTTCCATTCAGGCGCCTTTTTGCCCAAGATAGCAGAGGTCCAACCCGAAAAACAGTTTCCACCTCGCTCGGCCCTGCCCGTCTTGGCGTCCAGAGTGTTTTGGCGTACCGAAGACGTTTTTCTACCCTGGACAGACAGACGAATGGGTGGACAGCAAAAGAAAGACGACAAAACGAGAAGAACGAGGAGGAGTTCCCCAAAATTCGGGACTGTTTTTGTTGTCGGCCGTTGGGGGCGGGGGGTATGCGTGGCGGGATGCCGGTTTTGGGGGTAAGAAAAGGAAAACGAGGAACTGTCTGTGAAACTAAAGTTCATGCCTTTTGTATGGTGGCGTACGGTCGCGGGAATCCAGACTGTTTTGCTGGGGGGAACGGATCCCGAGCTACCGTAATCACTGATGGTGGCATCGGATAGGGCGGAAGAAGCCGGATCCGTTTCTTTTTAGCTTCAAGTTAGGCGAATTCCGGTGTTCCAATTTTCCCTACCATGTCACTAAGCACTCCTTGTTAGTCTGACCAAAAAAATAATAACAAAAATTTTTTGGCTGTTGTACAGTAACCCAAGAGTTTTTTATAAAGCTTGAAAGCACTGATCGGGTAATTTCAATTTTTTATTATACTCCGGTAATACGGTAATTTAAGCGTAATTTTTGTTACTCGGAGTTATTTCAGCACCTAAGCGGTTTTGCGAATGGCAAATTATAAAATTACTGTATTTTTTCATTTTGCCAAGTATATTTTGTAGTGTTTTTGAAAGTATTTGTTCTAAAAAACCGCCGCTTTTCAATTCTGACCATTTCTTCGGCTTATTTCTACGATGCTTGCGAGTGTACCTTGTAGCGCTTCGAAATCTTCCAAAAATAAATACGCTTATCTCGACTTGTTCTGAATTTTCCTTACGCGATTTTGTCCGTATCTTATAGTGCCTTGGATTGTAATCCTTGGATGTTTCCAAAATGCTTCTAAGGTAATTTAACGCACCCACCATCCTGTAGATCCCTTCAGCCAAACCCCAACCTCCAAATCACCCATTCACTCTGTGGTTCGGAGTCTTTAGGCCAATGTCGTCGAAAAAATCGGAGTGGCGGTCAGGAGTTTCGACGCGCGCAGGGGGGTGACCGCCAAAGCGAACCGCCTGCCCGGGCTACCGTAACCCCCGGGGCTGTGATACCGAATGAGAAAGAAAGAGCGAGGGAGAGAGTGAGAGAGGGAAGGGGGAAGGGCTGAAATGGGTCAGACTGGATAGTGGGGGCGGACCGTCCGCTGGTCGTCAGATGCGCGTGGATATGTGAACGTCTACCGGTATCCTGCTCCGCGTGGATTTGCCTTTTTCAGCCGGGCGCGGATTCTTGAGGATCAGCCGCTTAACTTTGCGCGAAAGCCGCTCGGGAGCGTCAAATTTCTCGTGCTCTTATGAACTCTTAAAGCTTCTGTATTTTCTCCGGCATAAATCAAGGATTTTCGTTTTTATACAGCAAAATTTCGGCAAGTTTTATGGTACCTTGATCGTTGAATATTGTGTAAAATTCCTGAAATTATCAAGTATCGTTTCTACATACTTTTAATGCCTATTAAATGCCAAATTTTCCTGAAAAAGTGGGCTTTTCGGAAATTTTTTTGCTGCAGTGCCAGTTAGCTAGTAGAAATCAACCCCTTTGCTGGTTTTTCGGATCGTCAAAACACCCTCTAGACTTTCCAAAATTTTACCAAATTCTAAATTTGCATAACAATACGTCCCTAAGTTGTGATTTTTTGAACCAATGAGATCTGCAATTTTTGTGAATCTTTTCAAAGATGACAGCCCTCAAAACTTTTTTTGCTTTTCCACTACACTCCGTTCTCCACTGATTTATGAATTTGGGAATGTTTGCTTTTTGTAACTCCACCGTCATTCACCCCCGAACCCAAACCCCACAATCTTCACAACCTGAAATTTTCAACAGCCTCCGTCAAGTTTTGCCGCTGATTTCTCCTTGCACGTTCCCCTCTGAATTTGGTGACTAAACACCCAATTTTTGGGGTAGAAATTGGTACCTTCCATTTTCCGATACGTACTTGTTCGCTGAAAGCTACAGAGCACCGGCGAAATTTGCTGAACCAAACCGGCGGACCCTGGTTAATTATCCCTGATGGCGGGCAGCTCCAGGAGGGGGATAAAAGGGGGCCAAGCCGGGCAAATTATTTCGTGCTCTCTTCAGGGGGATTAACAGGCTGGCTTTCCGGGAAGGGGTACGATACTGGAAGGGGGAAAGTGGTGGAAAAGTAGTTTGTTAGTTCAAAAAAAGTTTACAAATTTCAGGGTTCAAGATCAAATTCAACTAGATTTTTTTAAACTTTGGGTTGGCTAAATACCCTTTATTTGCATTTTAGTTATTACAAAGCGGAGTTTTGTAACATTAAATCGTTTATTTAAGATAATTTAAAGCATTATTTAAATACTTTAATACATCTAAAGTCCGAATTTCGGTATTATGTGACACATTCTGCTCGTTTAAATTTCGTTTTAAAAGGAGTCTTAAAAATCCGAGCTTTAATTTTATCTTTTCTGACCTCTATCACATTTTCTTCCTATTTTTCAAGTCTCAATCCAATTGTTCTGACTAGCCTGTTTTCTAAAAATTTTGGAATTTGCCCAGTTTTCAGCCCTCGATGTTCCCGATGGCCCAGCTGCCGGGGATCTCCCTGATCGACAACGACACGCGGGCGATGCTGAACGGGCTCAACTTGCGCCTCAACGACATTGACCTGAAGCTGAGCTTCGTGTTGGAGCTGCTCGCCACGCGGTTGCCGCCTGATCAGAGGTGTGTTTTGCAGCTTTCGTGCTCCGAAAAACCTCACGAAATTTCCGTACCCTAGTCTTCTTCCGTCGTCCCTAGAACCCCTCACCCTTAAAAACTATGCAAACATCTTCGTCAAGTTTAGCATTTTCCAGCCTGTGCTAAAAACCTTGAGTCACGTAAATACCTTTTACAACTCCAATAAACTGGAGCCGGTCGGAAAACCCCCTTTGAACTTTCGGCTTTCAGAGGTTCTAAAAGGTGCGCTCATGACAGTAGCCCTGTTCGAACCGGCCTCTTTGCATACCTACTCGCTACCAAAATTACCCCTGAAAAAGCTTTTAGCCCGCAACCGCCTTCTGCCCACTTTGCACCCACCCCCAAAAGCCACTTTACCGGTCTTTTTCTGTATGGCTTTCCGGGGCAACCCTAACTACTCCCCCCCCACCACGTACGGTCTGAAAAAGGGTGTCACAATCCACCCAGGCGCAAAGTGGATCCGCGCGTATTTGAACGGTCCGGTGAGCCGGATTGGGGGGAGGACACACACTGAAATTCAGGGTTTTTGGGTCGTGGCGTGAGTACGGGGATGTCCATTAGCCAGTCAGTCAGTCAGAGCGATGTGCCCTGGGGATAGCCGTGAGAGAGAGAGGAAGAGAGAGTAAGAGAGAGAGAGAGAGAGAGAGAGAGAGAGAGAGAGAGAGACGGTTATTACCGCGCAGGACAACTAGGGTAACCGGTAACACCAAATGGAGCCGACCACCGGCCAACGGGCAGGATACCGAATTTCGGGGGATCCGGGGGAACTTTGGGATTTTAAAGGGACTAGAAAGCCAAAAAAAACTTCGATAGATTTTTAAGATAAAGAGCGAGATAAAGAGAGATAGAGAGGCGCGCATAGACCTAATTTTTCAGGCTAACCACCATCTTCGCCTCTCCCCCACCTACTGTCATCAACGACCTCGCCCACCAGCGCGCCGCGTACAGTCCCGTAGCCGGAAATAGCGGATCCGACAAGACGTCAACGAGCCCAAAGGTTTGTGTTGATTTTTAATCCATTTCGACATCTTAAAGAAGTTCAACTGCATGACAACCTCTTTAAGTGATCTTTTCTAACCATCTAGTTTAGACAGAGATCAAAGACGAATCCGACGGTGAGCTTGACCTCGAGAATGGCGGCGAAACCGAAATGGATGAGGATGACTCACAGCAGAATAACGAGCAACACAATCCGGTATTCAATATAAAACCTAACGAAGATTTTCCAGTTTTTTAAGCATGAAAACTCGATGCTGAAGGACCTGCTTGAAAAAGCCGGACAACTTGCAGCAATTTTGCCACAAGATGGACAAACAGGGAATGAGGTATCGGACTTACAGGGGCGATGACGTTAAATTTGTGGTTGTAGGAAGATAAAGCTGCCCAGATTGAGGGTCCATTTCCGGAAGGAGCTGTGAAGAGAGCCGCCGAGAAAGCCGCCCGGTCGTTTCAAAGCACGCAGCCAAAGGTTGGTATTCTCGGGGTACTTTAAGAAGTTGATATTCGACCAGATATCTGCATCAATATTTTGATAGAAGGTTGATGTTTCGTTTAATTTTTGAGCTTCCCAAGATACCAACAAGTTCAAGCAGTACGCCGACCATAAGCGGATTCAGCTTTTCTAACATCTTTGACTCGACTAAGATATCGTCAAGTTCAGGCCGTTAAGCTGGCGCTCACGCGCGAGTATATGATATTTTTATCAGTCTTTTACAATCCTCAAGGGCAAATCCACCCCACTAACTTTTCGCAATCGATGCCCCCTACGCCAGAATTTCGCCTCGGCGGGTAGAACCGATGGGTTCCCGCGACTTGACGGTGTTGCCCTTTTCTATTTTTTGGTTGTGCCCCATCTGGCCGAATCGACGATCGGTAGTGGTCATTGTCGCGGGAGGCAAGCAAGGCTATGCCATGTTTTCGGGGTTGTCCACCGCCACCTTTTGACAAGGATTCTCCACTACGGGTCGGGGGACGTGGAGGTGGACAGAAAGACACGAACAGACGTACAGACACATAGGCAAGTAGACGAACACACAGACGGTAGACGACGGACGCACAAATATACAAGTAAGCGAAAAAACAGACAAACGGACACCTAGATAGTGATATAGCGCGAGTAGATGAACAGATAACGAACATACGAACATCTAGCTGAATAAAGAACGGACAAGCAGACAGAGAGACGAAGAGACAGTCAGACACACACATCCAAAAACCCATTGTCATGCTGTTTCGGAAGTGAAATCCACAAAATATCGCCCTATTATAAGGGCCTGAAACTGGTCCGTCATCGGGTATGGGCACGTACACCCAGGGTACACAAACGATCGGGGCCCAATGGCCGCCGCGAGTCTTGTATTTGCCGAAAACACCGCTACTTTCACCCCCTTCTATTTATGGGTTCCGGGTGGTAAACGGTGCCGCGCGAAAAAACCGGCGTTGGAAATTGTTGGCTGGGGATTACGGTAAATGGGATAGTGTGGTTGTAAATGGAGTTTTCGGGATTGCATACGGTAATATCGGTGTAGAGGATTTTGAAGCTGTGGAATCGAAGCATTTCTATGGATCCTTGCCGTCATAGTTCCTTTAAAAAGGCCTTAAAGGGCATAATAAGCTTAAATATCTAGTTATGGGGTTCTAACAGTAATGGCAAGCCTCTATTTCCACAATGATCCCTGCTAGCACGCACCCTTTGCATTGTTGTGCTATGGATTCTTGTCTTCCTAGTTCCTCTAAAAAGGTATTAGAAAAAGAAAGTAAAATAATTAGTTAGTTAGTTGGTAAAGTAAGTTTAAATACACAGTTACATAATTTTTAGCATTGTTCGCAAGCGCGGATTTCCTCAATGATGACTGCTAGCATGCTCCTTTTCGCTTGTTTCGAGTTTTAAAACCAATTTTCATGAATTTGATATTCTATTATTTTCGACTTTCGTAAATACGTCCCGAAAATGAACCTGAACTCCAGTTGCGCCCTGATGCTTAAGTCCTTCGGTTTTTCCCTCGCAAAACCCCATTTTTGCCATGTACTTCTTGCAGGTTGAAATTAACGTTCATCTCAGAGCGTCAATTTTTGCCCCAAACCCGTAATTTCGACGGCCTTTTGGAACCCGCACTTTTCATACCTTAACACCTCACCGGGTCTAAGATTTTTCAAAAGTTTTTTGACGCCTTCGGGTCCCAAACAGGACCGAAACGGTCCGGATCGCCTTGGTCCAGCCACCCCATGAAAAGTGGTGTGTTCCGTTAGAGTGTTTGCCGAAAATGTGAGAATCCCCGGGGTGCTGAAATTTGCATAGTGAGGGTCCTAGTTTGTTTGTTGGCCTGGCTGGGCCCTGGAACATGCGCAAAACCCTCTAGGGGCCCGCGGAAAACTCTGCATATCATCCCGGGGGTCCCGCGGCGCGGAAGGGGGATGGTCTATTTACATAGAAAATGCACAAATAATGTGCGACATGGTGCGGTGGGGAGAGAGAGAGAGAGAGAGAGAGAGAGAGAGAGAGAGAGAGCGAGAGAGAGGAGAGAGTGAGAGAGAGAAAGAGCGATGGCGAGAACAGTTAGAGAGCAAGCTGTTTGAGAGGTTTTGACTAACGGCATGGTGAAGGGAAGGCACCCTGGCGAGAGAGAGCGAGCTCGAGAGAGAGTTAGAGACCACGTCCACTTCAGAGACCCTAGACACCACCAGAAACCCGAGAGCACCGTCACAACCCCTAGAATCCGACGCTAAAGACGCGGGGACAGCAAACACCTCCTGCCAAAATGGTGCATTCCGGAGTGGTGCTGAACCCCGCGCCCGGCCAGCGGTCCGAAAACGCAAAAAGCAAACGTGCCGGGGTGCTGCGGCCCGGGAGAAGGAAGAGGAAAAACACGAGGGCCGTCTTCTCCTTCTTCTGCTGGTCCAGGATTTTTCTTGTCGTGGTGGGACCCCCCACTACACCCACCAACAAATACGCATACACACACCAAACACACCACTCGGGACCATGGGGGATGGTGGCCGAAAAGTGGTGACCGGGTTGGACGTAAGGGGGTTGACCGGAAATGTTTTTAGTATAATGGTGCACATTGTAAGGTACCGTAGTACGCATAGATGCTACGGCATACTACATTAAGCGTGCTTCAGCGGGTTGGACGTAGACACCTATTTACGCAGAGAGACTGGGAAAAGAGCTAGAAAGAACCAGCTGAATGTGCGCTTTAAGCCGAGCAACCTTAAGTTACGTCAGGTAACGTTACGCTACGCTATGTGACATTACCCTATCCTACGTTGAACATTTTGCCTTTTGCACTTTGCATTGCGCTGCTGCGCGATTTCCAGGTGCCACTACCATACTTCCCTTGAATCGTAGTTTCCAGATACCGTATATACCTATCACGACACTGTAATTATATGCTGTAGCGTAACGTACTATCCCGTATCGTAACGCAATCATTGACCAGAAGAGTCCGAAAATGTTTAGAGCTGGATTTTTATCCTAATTCCGAATTTCAAGATCGAATACGTCAGTCTCCGCTTGGTTAGCCGGTGTATTTTAGTACATGGATCGACAATTTTTTTAGTAATTTTTTGTCTGTTTAAATCAAGATTTTTAACTCGCCAAGATCTTTGAAACGTCAATTTTGACCAGAGCCCGAATGGCCATTTCGATTCCGCCAAAAACTCGCTGTCGAAAAGTGCACCCATTGATTTCCTGTCATCCGCAGCCTAAAGGGCACCTCTTCAAGGTTCCGAACCTCCACCACCTCCCCGGTCTCAAAAGAGGTCAAAGGGGTAGTGTTCTGCTACACCTCCATCTGTGTCCCAACCTCCCCGAAAGTGCAAAGTCATCAAGTCAAAATGGCAGCACCCTGTGTCTTGTCTTCTCCTTCATTCCTTTTATCCATCCACCTCGGGTTTGACAGACGATTTTTGGGGGGAATGGAGGTGCTGCTGCTCCTCCTTGCGCAACCCGTGTCCAGATTGAGATCGCCGGTGCGGGTCGTGTTTGAACGCCTGGCGCCTCGGAACGCCTTTACGTGGAACACCCGAGGAAATTGAGGGAAATTTTTTGCCGCTCCTTGGAGTCGATTGATTGAGGGAGGGAAATTGGGCGAGGAGGGGTTTGGAAAAAAATATTTAGCTAAAAACAAGCGCCGGACGTTATCATTAATGCGCCAGTTCCATACATTGACTATACATTCCATACATACGATTGACAAGTGACAAGGTTCCAAGGCGTTTAGTGGCTTTATTCTTGCCTTCCCCGCTCCTTTAAACAGCCTCTAAATCGCTAAAAAACTGGCAGTCCTGTTTTTTGAAAGTTATCCCTAACTTGTAAATTATCTAAAACCCTAATTCGGATCGGAAGAGCTAGATTTTGACCATGTCCCTAACAACGTCAAAAATAGCATAAACTAACCCTAACTCGCTTGATTGTGCACTTTTCTGCTACCGTACCCCAAACCCGCGTAAAAAAATTTCGAAAAGTACGACTCTCACGGGTTCTCCTTCCACTTTTTTCGCCACTTTTTTGCTAGTGGTTTTCTTGGGGGAGCGCAACAGCTTGGTCAGGGTCAGCCGAGGGGAAAACTCGCGCAAAAACGGTTCGACGCCGGGCTGGGTTCCCACGGGTGAACAACACCCACTCTCACCGCATTCACCACTTTTTATGGCATCGGGGCGTAGTCGATTGGTTGCGGGGTGAGTATTGCGTGAGGTGGATGAGGAACGGAGCCTAATCGTTCGACTCGTTCGGAGGGTAAATGGTTAGTGGGGAAGGGGGAATGTCTCGTTTTCGGAGTTGCGTAATTTTGTAGCGGGGAGAGCGAGTTATATGGGACGTGAAAACGAGTCAAGGTAGAGTTAAAGAAGTGAAAAATACGAGTTTGGGAAATGAAAAAAATTCGGACTTTTAGCTTTTGCACCACTCAAAAAATTGTAACATTTATGAACGAAAATTCGTTAAAGAAATTTCAGAAAATCTTTAAATAAAATTACAGAACGTAAAAAAATTTCAGTAAAGTGCCTCGAAAGCGAAAAATCGGCCCTTTCATGTTGACCATGTCACGAAAACTACATGGCGAGAAGAATCGGTTAGGATATCACTCAAAATGAGCATTAGCCCATTTTGTCATAGCTTCATATTTGTCGACACCCAAGGCATTTGATAAAACGGAATTTTCTGGGTTCAATAGCACTTTTTCAACTTGGAAACGGTTTGATTTTGAGCCCTGATATTTTAGTTGAAGCACCTGAATTCATGTTTTTACTGCTTGGTATCCGGTTTCTTCGATACTTCAATTTTCCCGATTTCTTTCCACTACGCCGCTGTACTACACACAGCCACATCATGCCAGAAAGTATAAAACATTTTTGACATCCACCACCAGCCCTACCTACCCCCTCGAGCCGATTGGTCAACCAGCCCCTCGAAGTGTGCCGGTGATCAGCGGGATCTTATGGGGAGTTACGGTAGCCAAAAGGGGGGCATAGTTTCGGCCAGTCCGTCTCTCTCCTTCTTCTCTCTCCCTCTCTCTCTTTCTCTCACTCTCTCGACCACACCGCGCAACCAACCGTTATCCACTCCCCCCATCCCCCAACCACTCCTCGGACGGTCCAGGCCCGATAACAAAAAGTGCAAACGGGTATACGGTAGCTGAAGAGAGAGAAATAGAGAGAGAGAGAGAGGAGAGAGAGACAGAGGGAGCCAGAGAGAGGCAGAGAAAGAGGGAAATCGCCAGAACGCCAAAAAACCTTGAACCGGGGAAATGACCGGGTGTGTGTATGTGTCTTCCTGTTGAGGGGACGTTATTGGGTGGAAAACGGAAAAGAGGGGCCTTCCGGAATTTGACGGCGAATGGGGCGAAAATAGCAACGTTGGCTAGCTAGGGTGGGATTGGGGATTGTTGCGTATGGGGAGGGTTACAGTATGTCTCGAGGTCGTAGCAAAACGCAACTGGTTTTGACAGAAATAGAGGAATAGAAATATCTCGATTCTTTGATTTAATTTGAAGTGTCTAATTCTGAAGAAATTTAGAATTTCCATACCATATTAAACCGTTTGTTAAAGAAATAAGACCATTAACCTTAAATACTCTACGTTTCTCGAGTTTTTTTTGAGAAACGTAAAGAGGAACTTTACCGAACAATCAATCAAAACGTAAAGCTCCAAATGACAAGAGGTATCCTGACAACTTTGTAGGCCAAGAATTCGTAAATAATAATGCCTGGTAGCCAACGCAATGCTCCAAATGACACCCCAAAAACAGTAGGGCGGCCGTTCCGCTTCCTGGAACCGTTACACATATATTTGCGATCGGTCTAACATTTGACAAGTAGCCCCCGGGGCACGAAAACTAGAATGGTAGCTGTTGAAAAACTACATTTTTAACGTCTTTTACGAGTAAGTCTAGGATTTTCCGGAAAAAGTAGATTTTTATTTGCATTCTCGAAACCTAAAAAACTGATTTATAAAACTAAATTCATAAAAATACCCTTACAAGCTATTCGAAAGTGTTTGTAGTCTTTTCTCATTAAAGTATACGAAAATTCTGCCCATTTCCATACCGTAACCCATTCAATGCCACTTGGTTTTGTCTTTAAATCGTTCCGCAATCCGTTTTGGTGGCCCTCATTTTGCCACGCGGCTCTATTTGTCTTTCGACCCGTGTCTGTCTGTCTGCCTGTCCGTCGGTCTGTCTGTTTTTCCACAATGGCAATTTGTTTCCGGGGGGCCCTCACCCCCGATCCGATGTGCCCCGACCGGCCGTTTGACTTGGGCCTCCTCTCGTGTGCTCGTTCCGGTCTATACAAATATTTTCGGGGGGTCGCCCTAGCCATTAGCCAATTTTCCCAGGGAAAACTCCTGGCGGCGGACGGTGGTAAATAGCTAACAAGCTAACTATACGTTAGAACAATAGGGGAAAGGTGGGGGACCCGAAACCAGTGGAAAAAATTATTTTTTTAATTTTAATCTTGTGAAAAATAAATTTAGTGGATTCGAAGATTGTATAAAAGTGTTAAGCATTGATTTTAATATTTTTTCAGGTATTCGCCTGGCAAATCCTGCGCGAATCCGTTACCGACGACGAGCTCCGAAATGTGCAGATCTCCCTCCGCACTTTCCACGGCGAGACGGCCGACCATTTGTTGAGCCGGCAATTGCCAAAGGTATAAAAATAAATATTTCCATAAATTTAATAGCGTTAAAATCGGTACTAAAAACTATCCAGCTATCATCTATAATATACCAAATTAATAGAATTTTCCGATCCCAATTTTCCCTTCCAGATTCGCCTGGTCGTCGAGGCAACAATGCGGTACTTTAAGTGGGAAAACCTCTCCGATGAGCTCCAGCTGGGCAAGGCCAAGCTTATTTTGAGGTTTGAAAATCATGAAAATATAGATGATTTTTATTTTAGCCACTTGAAAAACAACGCCAAGGTGCGAAACTGGACCCTACGAGAGGGACGGCCGAACCGGGCTGTTTCCTCGCCGATCGCGTAAGTTTAGCGTGACTTTTGGGTTATTTCAGGTATCTGTAAATCGTTGCATGATATATTTAAGGCCACCAAGCTGCTATTGGCTGATTTTTGTTAAAATGACGCAGTAAAATGATCGGAACTTACCTTAATCGGATCGAAACTTATTTAGTATTTACATAATGGTACAATTACACTCAAAAATTGTGGTTTTCGAAAGATACATGTCTATAGCGTTTTTGAAAACCCTGCTTTCTAATAACTTTTGATTTTAGAAAAAACTACCGAAAACTTACAGCAGTTATCATTAAAACGTTGTAAAATTAACGTTTAATGACTCAAAATTTCAAAAGTTTCTTTAGAAATTCAATGAATAGGGCATCATAATCTTAGGTTTTTACAAGTATCTAAACGTTATTCAAGGTAACGGTAGCGCTATTTTATAAAGAATCACGATTAAAAGGTATAGAAAAATATTAAGACATTTTCGAAAATATTTTCAATTTCCACCTCAACCATCCCTCCCCAAAAAACCGGCTTCTCCATAATTTCTAGTATACCCCCCAGGGGCAATCGGTGACTTACTTCCGCTTGAGTGACCCTTTGTTATGGTACTAGGCTGAAGGTGAGAGGACCGGTAATAGCCTCCCCTCCCCCATCGCTACACTAACCCATCGTTCTGTGTGGACAGTAGCGTACTGTGTATGGGTGTTGCGAGAGGGCTGTAGGGTCCAATTGCCTTCACATCACCCCCTCCTCTAATGCAGTTTCCACACTGCCCAATTCCCAGACCCATCCGCGGGAGGTAGAGAGGTTCAATTTTCCGACCCGTCATGTGCATTGTTGCGGAACTGGAGGCCCTGAAATTTTCGGGGGTGGCCTAGTAGCCGGGGAAACTGATTTTATGGGGGGAGGTGGAACCGAGGGATTTAAGGTCTATATTTTTATTTTCAACCCTGGACCCGTCTGCACCCATGATATACTTGGCTTTGCATAATTTGCGCGGATTCGGATGACGAAAAATAAAAATGCTCTCTCCGTCCCTTTATATAGGCTACCGCGACTTCCGGTGCATGCTAATTTTTCCCTAACAAAGAGGGTGCCCGATTTTCCAAGAAAAAATGAATTTGATGTCGAAAACCTCATATTATGTAAAATCTAATATGTGTGCAGTCATCTCCAGACCATTACGCACCGAATGACGTATCGAACATACCCCTAAGTACTTCCCTTCTTGAGATACTATTGGAACACGGTGACGGAAGTTGGGAAAAGTCCAAAATGCAGACACCCAAAACGCAGAATGCTAAAACGCAGACAGCCAAAACGCAGACAGCCAAAACGCAGACAGCCAAAACGCAGACAGCCAAAACGCAGACACTGAATATGCAGACACCGAATATGCAGACACTGAATATGCAGACACCGAATATGCAGACACCTGATTCACCTAATTCGACAGCGATGACAACTTTCGCATATCTTCGCATCATCCCAAAATCTCAAATCCTCAAACATCCCAAAATGCTCTTCTCCTGTGCTTGTACCAGCAGTTGTATTTCGGATGGGAAGAATAAAGTGTTGAGTTATGAGATGGTTTTGGCTGTTTGCATATTCAGTGGTGTCAGCATATTCAGTGTCTGCGTTTTGGCTGTCTGCGTTTTGGCTGTCTGCGTTTTGTCCTGTCTGCGTTTTGGCTGTCTGCGTTTTGGCTGTCTGCGTTTTGGCTGTCTGCGTTTTAGCATTCTGTGTTTTGGTTGTCTGCGTTTTGGCTGGAAATCACGGAAGTTGCATGCAAATGCACACACACACACTATTTTTTTATATATTTTTATATATAGTAGGATACGATCAATTCCGCCTCTTATTTTGTTTTAAAGGTGCTGGTAAGGCAAAATCCACTACCCGGGGTGACGAAACCGAACTAAAAAACTTGCAAAAGCTAAGTTTTTCGCGCATGGATCTTTTAGAACGAGCAAAAAATTGTCTAAATTTTTGAATTAATCTGAAAGCTAGCAGTGATTTTTCCAGGGGGAAACAAGCGGAGTCCTTTATAAAATCAGCTGCCAGCAATGCGCTTAAGATTCGATTTGGAAGTACATCTAAGTTACTTAAATAGATATTTACGTATTTATAGCAACGAAACCTAAAAATGATTTTTGCAAACCCCCTTCCTCCCAAGCCTTCCAGAAAAATTTGTATCCCGATTTATGGATTCCTATGCGCAAAAAATTGCATCGGTGAGCCCCTGCAAATCTTCTAATTCCGGGCATAATCCATTCAATCCATCCGTGTGCTATTTCTCCCGCCAGTCTACGGTAGCGGGGTTCAATAAGTAGGGTCGCGGGAGGCGAGGGAAATGTTCCGGTTCCAGCTTTGTTAAAAAATGAAATAATATAAATCCAAAGCGCTGATTGTATACAGGATTATGGATTCGGAGTTGAAGGGTTCAAAGATGAGGTCATTGTGCTTTGGTCAGCTTATCGTTAGGGCTTTTCAAGGGCTTGGGAAGGCATATCCTACTGGTCCTTGAAAAGCTATATGACATACCTAGTTAAATTTAGCTCAAAATTTGTATGGAAAAAACTCTTATAGCCATCATTAAAATCTAAAAAACTGAAATTAGAGCAAAATCAGCAAGCCGGCAGAATTTCAAATTTGACCCGGTTGAATCGGCTTGTTAAAAGAACTAAAAGCCGATAAATAAATTTATATAATTTTATGAAAAATACAGCTGTGTAATACGTCTATATTTTATACCCTTTTCAGCGCCCCCAACCCTGCTGAGCTAGTGTGGCGCCGCTACGCTGCCCTGCTTGCCCCCGGCGGCCTAGCAGCCGCCGGCCTTCTGCCCTCTCTCCCGCCAAAAGTCTAAACTCTCCCTCGGTTTTCATATTTTCCTGTGATACCCATCCTGTGCCCCTCATTAAAAGACATTTATTACTTTTGCCTTTTTGATTACCGATTTTTTTCAAATTTAGACTATTTAATCCGGCTCCCATTATTTTGCTTTCCCGCAATTTCGCTAATTAATAATTTAATGCCTAACGCTAAGCCTCATATACTTCGATGTAATATTCCACCTTAAACTACCTCCACCCAAGAACATACTTGCGATTCTTCCAGCCTCCCCAGGACCTCGTTTCATTTCTATTATAACTATGGTAAATTTCCCAAAAACCCACCTCATCCCCCGGCCCGGGTTCAGCGTCAGAAAATGCAGCTTTCAGCCTCCCGTTCAGCGATATAATGATGATTCCAAGCCTGTACTATGTCCATTCTTTCAGTTATGATTTTTATACAATTTTTTACAAACCGACAGGGCGCCTTGACATTGGAAATTTGCATTTTAATGGGGCTTGGACGGCCAATTCTACCTCAAATACTTTGAAGAAATTTTAAAGGCCTTCCTTGTCCCCTAAAAACAACAAAACCGTGTCTGTTCATCTCGATTCCCTGTCATTAGTGTGCTACCATGATTTCCCGCCCAAAAATCTCTGATAGCCCAATCCATACCCCCCAAAAATCCGCGATAAACTACAAACTCCAGCCACTGCGAATAGATCCCGATTTTCTCGTCAATTTTACCAATTTTTGAGTGATTCCCGAATAAATACTATGTACAGAAGGGCGAAAAGTGACGAACTACCGAAAAGACAAACTACGACTATAGGCTCGCGTTTATCTCCTTTCTACAAAGCAGCAAACTACGAATTTATTTATTTTTCTAGGTCTGAACCTAGGTAAACGTTTTTAAAAATAAACTACATGACGATTTAGCGATTTTTTTTGAATAAATAATGACAATTTCAAGCCAAACTACAAACTACATCCCAACCGATTTAAGCATCTCAAGAATTCTAATTTTGGGGAATTCCCACGCCAGGGACACACTGACTAGTTTTTCCGCCGCAGCCCCCCAGAAATGCTAGTCAAAATGAATGAGTCAGCCACGAAACAGAAGCCTTGGCGAAGCTGCCAATTTCGATGCCCCGAATTGTCATTTTCTAATTTAATTTGGCTGCTCGATTATGGGCAAAAATTTTGCAGATCCAGCGCTGTTGGCTGGGTTCATTGAGGAAATTAGTGAGTCGCTTTCGGGTTCCAAATTTGGAATTTTGTAAATTTTTTAGAAAATAAGGGCGCCACGATTTTTGAGGAGCTCGGGCAAACGTTTGTCGTCGCCGTGAGCGTATTGGCTGTTCAGCAAGTAAGGACGATTTTTGCGAAGAAATTAGTTACATTTTTTGAGGAAAATTCACAGCCGGACAAGCTCTATTTTGATACTGGCTATTCAACTGGCAGGTGCGTGTTTGTCAAATAGGTAAAAAATAACTGGAAACTTCGATTTTCACAATTTTTAGCTAGTCAAAAGTTAACAGTAGCCTCGAGTTTAAGCCTCAGATTTAAAGTTTAAGCACGATAAATTGCTTAGATTAACTTTTATGCTTTTTCTTGCGTCTTCTAGCTTAATCGTTGTTTCATTCATTTAGCAAACAAAATACGTTCACCGAAATGACAACCATCATCGACAACAGCAAGCTGATCGTTGTAAATCAATAAAATTTAATCGTGTTTTGGAAATTAAAGCCGCAATGAATTTATTCGTGCACGCGGGAGTAGGCTGACCGACAGTCCTGCCACCGCAACGGTTCTTGCTAAAAAGAGGGGGATTTTCTTCGACTACGACTTGATTGATTGACCCCGAATTGTCGTGATCTACTCGAAACTCCTCCAAAAAAAACGCGTGCATAAAATCTCGGTAGACACCGTAGCCGAAAAGGGTAAAGCTTTTTGATTACGACATCAAATTCTTGCATCTAATTGAACAGGTATTTTTCCGTAATTGCAAGTGTATCCAATGGGTTTCCGGGTTCAGTTAAACGAGGGCCCAGAAGCGCGGAAGCGCGAAAATCAGCTCCTTCTGAGTTTTCCGAGTGCTTGGGGACAGGTGATATTTGGAAGAGTAGAAACTATCGATGACCGAGGCGAAACAGCCTGAATGATAGGCCGGCGTAAATTAGCTCTCTCTATCAGTTCTATCTAAATTCATAATTTCTATTCTCACCTGCGCCCATCTGCTCTCTCCGTGCCTCTTTGTATCGCTCTCTCTCTGCTCCGTCTCTCTCACTTCCTTGCCTTCTCTCTCTCATACTCTCTCTCTCTCTCTCTCTCTCTCTCTCTCTCTCTCTCTCTCTCTCTCTCTCTCTAGCTTCCCTACAAACAATTTTCTATATACTTTTGTCTTCCCCTTTCGCTCCCCGGCTCAGAAACCCAATAACACAGCGGTGCGAAAATCCGGGGATTCGCTTTTTAAAAATTGCATGATCAAGGAGATTACAGGCGACGCCGTGTAAGCCGGTTGGGAGTGTATTACGGTAGGAAGGGCAAATGTTCTGTGGAATCTGCAGGAAATAACATACCAGCGGCCTAGTCGGAATTTTCCAGCTCCGGCGGCCTTTAGTAATTTCTGGTGTTCGAAGAATAGGAAGAGGAAACCGAAGATGATCAGATGGAAGCAGAAGATTCCGGAAATCCGAAAAAGTTCTAGTGATAGAGAGAAGCTAGTTGGAGAGAGAGAGAGAACGAGCCGGAGGGAGGGGAGGAAGGGAGAGAGAGAGCGCGCGAGAGAGAGGCAGAGGGAGAGAAAATTTCCTTTAAAAACTCAAATAAATCGCGTTATGATCCGATCCCCTCCAGCTCCAATATTCGTAAAGTAGCGCGCCAGGGATCGGAAGTGATATTAACGGACAGACGGCAAATGCAGCCAGATGATCGACAAGGCGACCTGAAGACTGGTATTGCGTCATCTGAAGCCTCGTCAGACCTGATAGTATAACACAAAACCCCGATAAGTCAAAATATTTAGACTTTTCACGCCAAAATCACGTATATAGGCAAAAGATTTTGATAATGGTGCCGAGGAATAGAGGGGTAATACTTTTCTCTAGTAAATCTCTCGCTCTCTCTCCCTCACTCACTCTCTCTTTCTCTCGCCTCCTCTTGCTATATCTATCCCTCTCCCTTCTTTCTGTTTCTTTCTTCTTTTCTTTCTCAATTTTCAAAGATGTTTTATCCAGGTTTTGTATTTAAAGAGCATTGTGTTAATTTCGGCCTTTCTCTCTCACTCTAAATTGCTCTCTCCCTCTTTCTGTCTCTCTCTCTCTCTCTCGCATTTTCTCGATCTCTATTAAAATTTCCATTTCCCCCTTTCAATTCCAAAATTTTGATCGTTTGGCCCGGGTAATACCATATCCCGGGGCCCAAACCCTAATCCCGCCATGTCATCTTTCTCCCCCTCCATCCCCCATGGATTAAAATAACGAACGCAAATCTGCTCTCGACGATACAAACAAGACTAAATCCGGGGGTGATATTCATACTTCTTACGCCTCAATGGGCATCCCGATAATCCCCCACAATTTTTATAGGTCGTTTGTTAAGAAGGGGGGCTTCCCCGTTGACGATACGACGATTTTCTGGCGCTGTGGAAATAATGTACGATGTGTGTAGGTATTCTTTCCAATTAATAGGATTTAGATGGTTTATTGCGCTATGAAACTCGCTTCAAAACACTATAGGAAAATGTATAAATCGCTAAAAAATCGTGCTAGCAGTCACAACCATCAAATACAATGAGATCGGGATAATGTTGGTCTTTTTCTACACCGAATTATTTGAAAAGCGTATTTACATAAACGCACAAATGCCTAAACTCGTCATCAAGCGACCGGTAAATAGTAAAAATGCTAGCGGCACTGGATCAAAAAACTCTAGACAGGGTACTAGCACGGGAAGCAAGGAGTAAAAAGTATCCAATATCTTGGGCTATCTTGTATGGAGTATTTAGTAGTAAACGTAGTGATGGGCTCGACGGTGGCGCAGCTTCTTCTCGGCCTGAAATTGTTCAATTTCAAAGTTACGCAAATTTTGTCTGCTAGCTTGCCTGGGTTTAAATACGTGAACGCATTGAAGGGTAACGTTTCTATAACAGACTTAAAAAAATTAAAAAAATAAAAATTAAAAACGCTGTGCGCTCAAAGCAATTTTTTTGAAAAAAATCGGACTACGGTAATTTTGCCTTCTGGCTTCGCTTAAAACGTAAGATACGGGCATTTATAGTAACCGAAATCGGATAAGCTTCAAAAAACTCTTGATTGATGATTGGTGCCCATTTTCAGCCCATTTCATTTCCATACCTTTAAGTCCCGTGGATGCGTATCGACGGCCGCTGCACTCGCTTGCAAACCTATTTAAAATTAGTTTTAAATTATTTGTCTTTCTCACTTTGCGGGGCTCCCTCGGCGCCGTTGCAGTAATTCCCGCGGCAAATCGACGCGTGCACCTGTAATTAGTTGGCCAATTATTTTGCGGTTTTCAGGGCCGCGTCACCCATTTCTATTGTGTTTTGGTAAATCCTAGTTCCTGGGCATTCCTGGAACCCGTCCGGATTAGCGACTCTAATGGGGAGGCCTTTGAGTGCGGGCAAACCGGAAATTGGTCATAAGATTTTACGGGGGTTTTGCGTGGAATCGCGAAAGAATGAATTTCCGATGGTTTTGCGATTCCGGTGGGTCAATTTCCGGCTTGAGGTTTACAGATTCTTGCATAGAATTTTGTAAGGGTTGGATCAGAGAGAAAACTGCAGAACAATTATGCGATGGCAGGAAAATTCCAAACTTTTATTCCGATGTGAACTCTTGCGCACACGCACACTCTCTCTCGCTCTCTCTCTCTCGCTCTCTCTCTATCTCCCTCGCTCTCCATATGATACTTTAACGATACCTTGATGCTGCTCCCAAGATCGATGACTCGCGTCGGTGGGCTGGGATATAGGCGCAGATCTTGCTCGGGTATCTCTTTGAAGGCGGCGCTAGTGGCACAATCGCGGAGTTCGCCCAAGAATTGGCCATTTTGGTAGTAAGTGGCGAGGATGCAGGGGCCTTGGCAAAGATATTCGTAGCTGAAATAGACAGAGTTAAGAGGGCGAGAGCGCGGAGAGAGAGAGAGAGAGAGAGAGAGAGGGGGAGGACGAGAACGATACTGTAAGCTCTGATTCCCTACCCATATTTCTCCGTGCTACACCCAGGTGGCGACGGAACCCGCATCTGATTCTGAACTTGCCCGGCTAGAGTGATAGGCGAAAACTATAAAATAATCTCACATACGGCACTTCCAAAAATGCCTTACCCTCAATCCCTGCTGGTCCACGCAAACGTAGCAATAGTACGAATCGTCCTTGTCGAAACGGGCCACCTCGTTGAGCTGGAAAAATTGGGATACTTTTGAGAGCTGAAAAAAATCGAAAATAGGGCTACAGTATTCACCTGCTCTTCCCCGTCCGCACTGCTGTTGTAGCGACGGATCTCGCGGTTCGCGAAATTGACGTCCTGCTAGATAAAAATCAGGGTTTTTAAGGAATTTGTCATACCTTTAGTGGGGGAAAACGGGCAGCGGGGCCGGTCTGACCCTGCTCGAGGCCGAACTAAAATGTTGTTCTTTTTGAGAAATCTAGTCTTCATGTTTTGCAAAGTGTGCCATGTTATTGAGCGCCGTAAAAACTGCCAAGAATCTTGCTAGCTCAGTAGCAAACCCTAAATCGCTGAAATGGGCATGACACAAAAAGTTCTGCGTTCCAGAAGTTGCAGAATCACCTGCGAAAACGTCTAATGCAGGCCATGTAGTTATTTTTTGGATTTTCACTAGATTGGAGGACTACGGTAAGACTAACACTAGACCTATGACGCCTCGGTTTAAATATGACCTATTTAAATAATCCTAGTTTTCCACTGATTTCAATTTTGATAACCCTGATTATTTTCTCAAGGTCTTACAATTCCATGTTTTTCATTACCATAAACCGACCCATTTCATGAAGCTCTGTTCCGCGGCGACCCCAAATAACAGGGCGCAGATCGTGACGAAAATCATAGCTCGAAGATTCGAGGGGAGAATCTGGAACAAAATACGGCTCCAATTCGTTCGGCTCCCGCACCGTGAAGGTACGAATTGTACAAAGAACCCGCAAAGGAAGTGGTCACTAAAAATCGCCCCCACCCCCCCTTCGGGCCCAATATCGGGCGATTGTAGCACTTTATTTGGGGGTGTATAGCCGTCAATTACTGGAACAAGGGAATCACAAAAAATAAAAGTAAATTGGAGGGTTGAGATCGGCATCAGTGGATTACGGTGGGCTATGTGGAAATTCCGCAACAAAAGTTAATGATGGGCTACTGTAGATGAACTTATGTACTACTTCGTGTTCGGCTTTGTGGTAGTTAAGGCCAAATAAATATTTTTCCAAACGTTACGCTGGGCAGAAGTAAAATTTTGACGTTTTCGGATGCATATCAGGTCGCGTTCGTGATTCGCAGACATTACTAGGGCTTGCCTTTAGACAGTAATCGTCAGAAACTAAATCAAAACCTTTAAAATTAATTGAAAAATAGAATCGAATACACACAATGTATTTCCTAGCATTTTTCTGCGTAGAAAAGTTTGCAAACGTTGTAAACCAGGCAAAAACTGAAAAACAGAACAAACAGAAAAAACTAACCATAAAAACGAGACGACAAAAGGAAAACGCACGGAAAAGCGATCTTTCCCGACCAATCTGAATTGCTCATTTTTTGCTTGATTTAACTTTCTAAACTTCCTCCAAATTACGATTCCGATCACTGGTACTTTCGCATTATAGGGGAGGGGTATTTTCTTGTATTAAACTAGAAATGCCTAGTAACTTAATAGGGACTGGTAAATTTTGGTCGAAAAATCGATATTGTTGCAATGTTGGATAAAAATTTGTTAATTTCGTACGTTTAGGAATAGTAAAAACAATTTAGTAACACTTCAGCTATCCATCTGAAAAAATTGCAAAGAAAAATTTGTTATCCTGTATTTTCAAAAAGCACTCAAAACCGGGGCGAAAATTCTGAAAATGAACATCCGAGGAGACGACAATGGATGTACATTGGGAATCCAAACTCAAAACTGCTACCCGCCAACGCATATTCAACCGTGGTCAACATGGCGTAATCCTGAAAAGTGGGCGTGTCTTCTCTCGAGATATTTATAAGCCGTGGGGGGATTAGGCAAAGTGGAAAAGTGGATGATTCCCCTGAACTGGTTCACGGCACTTTCCTTTTCCTAGCTGGTAAATCCGTTCAGCGTCCACTTAAATGCCGGGAAATGCGCGCAAATCCGGAAAATCAGGGTACTGTAGCAAGGATTTGGTGAATTAGCGCGGCCGAGGAGTTGAAGGTTCAAAAAGTGTGGCACAAGGGCGGTGTCCGATTACAGTACGACCGGGAACTGCTGCCGGGAAATGTGGAAACCCTCGATTTCCGCAGTAATCACCACTTTTCTACGACTCGCAGCCGAAAATGAGCGGCTATTCTGATCCACCCACATTCCCAGGCTTCCCCAAAGGTCAGCCCGCGTTGCAAAAACAATTCCACCTGCCTTTCAAAATGGCGATTGTGAAAAGGGGACACTTTTTAGCCGGACAACCATGACGCTGCGAATAAAAATCCGGCCGAAAAGGCAAATCGCTGCGCTCTTTGGTGTCGCAGAAACCAGAAAATCAGCTGAATACACGTGATATCATCTCATTAAAATCAAAGTCATATTCGCGCCCATGTCCAGCGTGCCAGACTTCAGCCCCAAAAGGGCCGTGAACGCCCGCAAAAAGTGAAGCAAAATGCCCGAAACGTAAAGTTTACCAAAATCGCCAACAATACCTTAAAACTAAAATATTTATTGGCACCCGTATGCAAAATTTGACGCCGAGATCGGGGGGCTAAATGGCAAGCAAAGGATGGTTACATGAAAGGTCTAGCAATGCACCGGGATATACAAAGAGGTAACGACTAGTTGTCACAATAATGGACTAACGAGAAATGCGAGAAATGCTAACAATAATTCGCTATAGGCGGGGAAAGAGAATCAGGGCCCGTCGTGTCCTGTTGCTGTTGAGATCAGATCGGGCTTGTCTGGGGACGGCGACTAAAATGTGGAATAAAATAAGGGCTTGAAATATGGGGTCAAATAGGGCCTCCGGAGGAACGATTTAAGGATTCTCGAATTTTTGGAAATATCGAGCTTTTCGATATCTCAAATTTCCATAATCCCTGATTTCAAATTCTAAATTTAGAACCGTAGAATTTCCAAACGCCGAAACGGCTGCGCGGGCTGTACGAAATTTAGAGATTGTGAAAACACGATATTCTAAAAATTCGGGATTCTGCACACCAGAGCTTATCAAAATTCGATATTACCCTCCTAATACCGCAAAATTAAGCTACCTTGAACCCGAGGGTGATTGGCATCCGGTTGATGCTGCGGATGACGCCTGGCTGTCCGCTCTGTTGCATGTCGACCAGCAAGATCTAAAGCGAAAAAAATAGAGATCACAGTTTGCTGAAGTACCCTGTGCTCCTTCCAGACGTGGTCCCGCTTGGCGCCCGGGGATGGGAAACGCTCGTCGCAGACCTAAAGCAGGGTAGAAGAACGAACTGTTCAAATACCTGACAATGCAACGGGCTCGGGCTGTGATGTTGGTTCCAGTGCATCAGCAGCTCTTCGCACTGAAAAAGAACGAGTTTTAAACTATTTAAGATATAAATTAATTAATGGAAACTAGTTTATAATTTTTTTATACCATTGAAGATCGTCGAAATTAAAAAAATACCCTTTTTGTATTTTCGGGATATATTAACGCAATTAATGACTCGTTCTCTCACATTGAAATGTCGACAATTTGAATTTTCGACAAAAAGCCGACCTGATCGTTTGACTGGCATGTGTAGCCGCACGATCGGCACTGCACCCAGCGCTTGAACGCGTGCACCACGTCGTGGTTGATCGTCCGGTCGTCCGGCAGGCGTTCCGACCAAGTGCGGCAGCTTCCGCATATCATGCAGCAGTTCGCCTCGGTGCCCACCCTGAATGTACTATTAATTTGTATTTCGAAGCGTACTCTTGCTCGTCATATTTCCGAAAAATTCGCGAGCAGCTGCCAATAGCAAATGGCCTCAAAAGGTAAGAAATAGCAATGTAACTTTGTCGAAATTCTGATTTTCCAAAAAAGGATTTTGTTAAAGAAATATGGCTTCTCTGAAAATCATTTTTCCAGACCAGCTTTTCGAAGAATTTAAATTTTGTAAGAAGAAGAAGAAGAAAACAAAAACCCACCGGGCATGCGCCTGCTCGTGCTGCACCTTCAAATTCTCCAACCGGAAGCTCAACGGGCAGCTGAAATAAACTTATAAGTATCCAATTTTCCTCAGTGATATAAATCACTAATCGAATTTAAAACTGAAGAAACAAGATTTTTTTTAAAAACCCACTGTTCAGAGCGGTGTGGCAACACGCCGACGTGCATCTTCAGATGGTTGCGCAGCTCGAAGAAGCTGTTCACTGGCGGGTTGGGGCATCGCGGAGCCGGGCACATCAACTCGAAGCGGAAGGTCAGCCTAAATTCAGGAATATCAGTGCGCTAAAAACCCCAAAAATACGTTCAATATTTAAGCGAAAAAACTGACTGATGAGCATTGACCATGTGCATGACGACGTCCTTCTCCCGCTGGCCGTGGATCTCCTTCTGGCAGATCAAGCAAAAGGCGAAGTTTCTGCTCGTGCGGTCGTCGGCGTGTCGCATGTTGTGGACACGGGACTCGAGCGGCGAGTAAGACGAATGGTTGCACGTCTAAAACAGACATTTTAAAGATGTTTGACAACCTAAAACAGCCCACCCCGTCTCTAACCACATTTTCAAACAGGCCATTTTGTTTTGGGCAAAACAACGTTGCTATTTCAGTTATTTTAAGCGTTATTTTAAAACTTTAGTACACGACTTCATGCTCTAGTGGCCATTCGAATGCGAACAACGAGCACAGCTTCCAACCACGTTTTTACCGTATATTCTTGTTTTTCGTAACTCCGAAATATGTTAGGATGCACTTAAGTCCCCAGTATACTTTTTGGTGCGGTATCGAAAGGTGTTAATGCAATTTTTAAAAACAAACGCAAAAGATGAGTTTTTGTTAAGAGATCGAATTCCCTTCTAAAGTTCTAACCGTCGCAAATTAGTGTAAAAAATACCCCGCAACGGTCGTAGACGCGCCGCTGCAGCTGCTGCTGTTGCTGGAAGAGGGCCATGCAGGCCGCGGGTGACATCATCTAAAAAAATTTCATTGAAAAGAGCAAAAAATTGACCGGCGGTTGTGCGACTGGGGGCGCCCCGTTGCGCTGCTGGAACTGGAAAGCCATTTGTTGCGGCAGCACGAATGGCGTTGCTGGCTGGAATGCTTGCATTTCTTAGAACGTCAAAAAAAGTCAGAGATTTTAGAAAAAACCACTAATTCTGAAACCTCGCATGGCCGTTTTAGCCCTCGTCGCGAGATGGTCGCTACAGACAATCTTTTAGAATATTTTAGCTAGTGAAAAATAAACTACGAAAACGGTACACCTAGGATAGCAGTGGCCGAAATAATAACGAGGATTTTAATATTTGTTTAATATGATATTTTGGGTACTTTGAAAATGCCGTTGGATAGAGGGCCGAAAAATATATTACGAATTTTTTCTAACCCGAAAAACCTTTTTTATTATAAAAAAATTTTGATTCCTCCCCCCTCCGTTATTTCTTCAACCCCCGTCATCCTAAATGTACGATGAAAACCCATTAAATCGATTTTAGAAAGCTAACGTACCGACATGCCCACCATCATGGCAGGATGTGGTCTGGTGTGCTGGACTAGTTGTGGCATTTCTGGCGACACCCTCCGGGCTTGCGGCTGCGGGTTGGCGGGTTGCACGGGGACTTGCTGCTGGACTTGTTGCTGCACCGGCCGGTTGGCAACTTGCTGGACTTGTTGCTGCACCGGCCGGTTGGCAACTTGCTGGACTTGTTGCTGCACTGACCGGTTGGCAACTTGCTGGACTTGTTGCTGCACTGGCCGGTTGGCAACTTGCTGGACTTGTTGCTGCACTGGCCGGTTGGCAACTTGCTGGACCTGTTGCTGATGTTGTGCGGGATTTTGTTGGTGTTGAGCGGGCCTTGGTTGGATCGGTAGCTGTTGGTGCACCTGGCCGTGCTGGACGTTCATCAGGCCCATTTGACGTTGTTGCTGTTGGGGTGCCATCCTGATTGCGGGCGGCTGAGCGCCTTGGGCAGGTTGTTGTTGCTGCTGCTGCTGCTGCTGGCCCATTATCGGCAGCTGACCGCCTTGAGCTGCTTGCTGCTGCTGGCCCATGATCGGCATCTGACCGGGTTGTCGAGTGACGAGCTGTTGTTGTTGTACCATAAGGTCAGTCATTTGGCGCTGTCGCTGGTGCAACGAGATGCTGTCGACACCGGCGCGCATCTAAACACGAAACAAACGATGAAAGGCTAGGAGTAATATACCCGTGGTTGTACCTGTTGAGAGGTTGTCGCGACTGGGGTAGTTGTTGTGGGCACTTGCTCGACTTGTACGTCACGGCGTGGATCAACTTGCTTTTGTTGTTGCTGAAAAAGTGACATAAGATAAACCAGAAAAAGCCGTCCAGTAAGTCTAATGACTAATTAAGAAAGAGAGAGAGAATAGAGAGAAGAGAGAGAGAGAGAGAGAGAGAGAGAGAGATCTACTAATATCTAAAACTTACCGGCACTGGAGCCTGCGACGTGCTGGGGACGTTTGGCGGAGGCGTCTCGATGATTTCGATATCTTCATCGTCGGCATCCTGATTGTCGGGCTGCTAAACAACACTTTATTTTAAAAAAATCGAACGATTCACCTGCTGGCCTTGCTGCCCCTCGGTTCCTTGAGAACTGCTCGACAACCTTCGCTTGACAGAAGAATGCCAATGGCAGTAGGCGCCGGTTGGTGATCTCTGGAAACGAGTAATTGGTGATTTTAACGCTATACTATCGTTTTAATACCCATAAATCTCTTAAACCTAAACTACGTTTTAAAACTGCCAATCTTAATTTTTTCTTTTGAAAATTCCAGTAATCATATTGTTATTTGAAATCAGCCCTGGAAACCACCAAACCAAGCTTTCGATGTAATGAAAAATATGGCAAAATTTCGGAGTAATCAATTCCGATGGAACGCTAGTAAAAACAACCATATCACCAACCAATATCCGGTCGGCCATCTCAACAGCGCCCACATTCGCTTCGGCGGTGAACAGCGGAATTAATCGCTTGCGACAGTTGAGCGCGTACTCGCCGGGCAGGATGAACACGCGGCCCAAGTTCACTTTTTGACAGACAAGGCACGTGAGCGCTAGCTAAAAATGGACGTTGCAGAAGCAAAACGGTGATCCTTACGTTTCCCGTGCGCCTGAGCAATTCATCGGTGGGTTGCTTTGTCATGAGGCCGAAGTCGCGCTGAAAACCGATATTTTTTCAGGAAAAGAGGCCGAAGTAGCTTAAATAGGTTTTGCACAGTAATCTTGCAACGCGTTATCAGAAGTAATTGTAAAATCTCGAAAATCCAGAAAAATACTAATAAAAAAAGACCAAATGACCCCTTTTAAATACAATTTTTCGCGCTGACACGAATTTTTTTGTCCGATTTGAAAAATTACAAAAAAATATCAAATATTAAGAATAAGCCTTTTAAACCAACTTTTGAAGACAATTTAACAAGTTAATAATTCTTCAGCTCAAAAACAAACCGGGCACAAATGCATCGGCCGGTCGTGCCGCCTCAAAAAGTCGACGCGGAGTCGAAACTGAAAAATAACAATAGATTGAGCACAATTCAGTAAAATTACCAGGCTCTCAAAATGGGTCAGCACCACCGGCTCGACAATGGCGCAGAACTGGATCTAAAAACCACATTGCAGATTGAAGGTCAGAGACAAACCGCCTGCAGGAAAAGAGCTTCGGCCCGTTGGCACGTGTGAGTGTCGAGGGGCAACTCCTGAAGCTCGGACACACTGGGCTTCCGTACGCTGCACACCAGGCAGAAGGGATGGACGATGCCGAGCGCTTGCTGGAAACCCAGAATCGGAGAAAAATTCTGACAGGTGGTTTTTCAGGTCTTTTCGCCGGCTTTCGAAAGCTGGAAAAGCCCACCGACCTTCCAGCGGTCCGCTAGGGAGGTGGGGGTGTATCTAGGTATCAAACTACCTCCAGAATGGGTGGCAGCGAAAGTTTCTTGCCCGGCTCCTGATCGCCATTATCGCGTTCGCCATTGGAGCTCAACGTGATCTGAAAAAGCCTTATCATCGTAAACGCCAGTAACGTTACCTTGGGAGTATCCCGCACTGGTGGCGCGTTCGCGATTGCCCGCTAAATTAAGGGTATCGAGGAAACTGAAATCTCGCACCTGTTGTTGCAATTTGACAGGCCCATGGTTCACTGCTTCCTGGAAGGAAAATGAATTAAAAACACACTCCAAAAACGAACGGCAGTTGCAGAAGGGGGGCGGCTTGTGGGAGCCGACGGGGGCGGATTGGAGACTCGACGGCCAGGTCTGAAGGCGTCATGCAATGCATCGATGAAGCTTCCTAAAGGGTGCGATTTGAAACCTGCGAATCGTCACTAACCGTTGCTCTGCGATCCGATCGCCGCCGAACTCATGGTCCTCAGCAAATCGTCCAGCTTCTTGTCCATCTTGGTCAATTGGCGGTCCGGGTGGAGGACCTGCGGTGGCTTGTGCAATGTTGCCATCTTCTGCTCCGCGGCCAGCACCAATGCCTTAACGAAGCGCCCTCGTGCGTTGGTGTAGGCTTCATCCAGGAAGAAGTGCTACAAACACAACGTAAAATAGGTCGACTTCGCTTTCGCACAACACAGGACCAGTGGTGTTCCAAAAAAAAACAAGCAAAAGAAGTGATTTTCCTTTTAAAATTAATAATCGTAATTCACGGGGACTGAACTCCACCGAAACGCAATTTCCACTGGTAAAAGTCCATTTTTCGGGTGCGCTTTTTCCGGAGATTTCTTGAGACACCCTTTTATAAACCCCTCCACGAGGACCACATGCAAACACATGCAAAAACACACCAGGTTCCCACAGTCCGGCTCCGAGCACATAATCCGGGATTTTTCGTAGGTAAACGATAGGTTGCACAAGTCCGGCCTCTGGGTCACCTTGAACGAGTCTCGCGAAGTGCCGTCCTCGTTGTTTTTGGCAAGGATCTGGAAAAATCGACGATTAAAAGCGCTTTGACAAAGAGCACCCCAAGACAATACGGGGTATGACTGACACCGAGGGTGGCCCAAACAAAGATCCACTCTAGAAGATTGTCGAATTTTATGGGTTAGATAATCGAAAGTTCTCGCAGAGGTGTTGCGGTTCTGTTTGATATACGAATTTTCGCTATTTTCTTGAAGTTTTCATTTCAGTTTCAGTTTTTGTCAAAGTCTTGTTTTTCTTTTCAAAGCACCAATTTTCGAGCTAACGGTTCGATTGGCCGGAAGGTAGCGAAAATTGCACAAAAATTCCTCGCCAGTCAAAAAGCTACTTCAGTTCCCTGCCTCGTCGAGAATTTGAGATTGATATCCAAATGAAAAAATGGGACGGACACCCTCTGCGCGCTCTTTTTCCGGGACAACCTGTTGACAAACGCGTGCACGACGCTGAACGCGAATTCTGAACACAAACACCCGGGGTACCTTTTGCCACGTGGGCACATCGTCCGGGTAGAACTCAAAGGCGTTGGCCGGGTAGGCGGCCAAAAATTGGACGGTGGACGTGTAGAAGCGTGTTCCGCCCTTCAGCGACACCTTGCAGTTGAGGACGTGGCGGTACATTGTGACGCCATCCAACCCTGCCAGCCGGCACTTCTTGCACACGAACAGCAGATCAATACCGTGGTCGATGGCCTGGTGGAGCAGGACGTCTTTTTCCTGAAAATTTGAGTGATATAATCAAAACCTGAAGAACCACGGAGCCTAAAAAAAGTTCGCCTAGGGGACCATAGCAATACCGGATTTTCGCGATTTATGTAGGCGCTTATTGAAAACTCTCGAAAGGGGAGAAAACAATAGTTTTATTTTTTAGTAAGTATTCTAATCTTTATCCAATCTCCGGTTCTCTAAAATGTCAAACATCATAGGAAGTCGCTGGTAGCCGTTTTCTCGCTAAATATTTATAAGTTTCAAAAATACCACTCACATCGCCAAAGATGAGTTCATGGTCGAAACAGGTGTAATGCGTGAACCCCGGGTCGTGTGCGTCCAGAAAATGGGATTTGACGTGGGTCGCCTGGGTGGACGAGTTTAGGGGGAAGACGGAGCAACTCGGACACGTCAGGTGGCTGAAACAACGTGTTGTGTATAAAAAAATCACAGAAATTGAGCCCGAATAAAAAAGTCGGACGACTGCATGGACAGCGCGGCTTCATAAAATCACTTACGGGTGCTCCACGTGCAGCAACAAATCATGGCTGATCAGCTTCATCTGGTTTTCGTAGGCGCGCCGGCAGTGGAGGCAAACATAGAACGCCTTTCCACGGATCAACGGCAGACCGAACGACTAGATCAGACAGTTAAGGGGAAATACCGAATGGCGAACCTCGCGAAATACCGTCTCCAACCAACGAATGAGCCGTTTTAACATGATGATCCAAGCCGGTTTTCGAGATAAAGGTGCTGCTCTGGCAGTGGGGACAGGTGATTCGTCTACGATTCGCGTTGGTGCCGGCCGTCGGTGGAGCGCTAAAAGAATCGGTGAAGAAAAAGAAGAAGAAGCGTTACAAAGCTTTGATTAAAAAACCTACGTCGGGTCTTCATAGCCAACGATTGTGCCGTCCTCGTCCATGATCGGGACCCGGGCTCGCGGTTCCTCGGGCTAGACAGGCTTAAGCATGACGGATAAGATCTTACCACTATTTCCATAACTTCATCGTCGCTGTCATCCGGAACTGAGGATGTTGGGACGGGTTCCTCCTTTGTCACGGTCGGCTCCTGGCGCACCTCGCGAATCGGCAGTGGCGAGTCAGCGATTGTAATGGCTTGGCCTAAAAAGAGAACTTAATTCAGAACCATGCAAAACTCCGCATAAAATCTTCAATTTTGTATCCAAAAAGACCGAGGAAGGTGCAGGATCGACAGAGACAACGAGGGGATAGGGTTAGGGTTTGCACCCCAATTTTAGACGCGAAAAGGGACATGGACACTCGAATTCCAAAGAAATGTTAATCCAAGATTACCGTCATCATGGCTGAAAGTTCCGGGTGGCTGTTGCTTGGGCGTGAGCGGCTTGGTGTCGAGCTGTGGCGGTGAAGTGGCAGGAGGTGATTCTGGCGGGCTGTCGCTCAAACAGATCACCTCGTCTAAAGGAACATGGACGTGAGAATGCGAGAATCCGATGCAAAAATGCTCGTGCCTATCAAAAACTGGACAACACTGTGACAGAAAGTGAGAAGCTTTTTGAGCAGTGCATCGGCTGTATAAAACGGTTCAAATTAAGGTTTTTTTCGCATTATCGGACAAAATTTAACTATGTTTCAAGCGGAAAACAATAATAAAAACTTATTTCTACTTCACTCCAACCTTTGTCGAAAAATCTAATTTATTTTGTACTTTTACGGAAATTCATAGTTTTTATGTTTAGAAATATTAAACAAAGTTTACAAACCTTTCCCCATTAAGAGTTTGATAAAAAATCTTTAGAAAAGCAGTTGCCCCCATCGATAATGCTAAAGAACCCAAAATGCATTTAAGCGCCAAGAAGTGCAAAGCAAAATTGTTATTCAAGCCCAAAAATTGTAGAGAAAGTGACTATAATTTCTAAAAACTCAACACCAAAAAACCAACATGCACAAAAAAGTAAAAGTCCTCACCATCCTCATCCGATAGCACGATCGTGTCGGATCGAGATGCCGGCTCGGGCTCAGATCGTCGGCTCGTAGAGGGCCCAGCGACCGGCGAAGGTGTTCGATTGGCCGTTACCAAACTCTCGGATGCGCATTGGAGAATCGGCTGCGGAGCGGCGCCCGCGACCAGCTGATTCGTCATTTTCTCGAGTCCCATGATCGGCGTTGCAGACGTACTGGGCTGTTGGGAACCAGATGAGGCCTGCGATGACTTGCGGATGGTGTTCGGCAAAGCGGGCGGCTGATGCGGCGTCTGTTGTCGGATCGAGGAGGGTTGTGGAACGGGGTTGGCAGGCCGTGGTGCCTTTGCTTGGAGGGCCAACTGCTGGGCGGCCGTCAGGGTAGCGGTCGGCTGAGCGGGTTGCGTCTTGGTGGCGTTGCGCACGTCGGGTGTATTTTGAGCAGCAACAGGTCCATTGCTCGGCGCCGCAAGGGTTGGCGACCCGCGAAGCGGCTGATTCTGCACCGGTGTGCTCAGTGAAACCGGAAGAGGTTGAGTCGCGGGAGGCCTTGGCAACAACTTGAATGGCGAAGGTGTAGACCGGTTCGAAGATGAGGGCCCGGCTGATGATAGGAGCTTCTTTGGGGCAGACGGGCTTTGCGTCAAATTGGTGACATCTCTTGGGCATGCCGACGATGTGGTGGTCATCATCTTTTTGGCCGGCGGCTTCTCCACACCGCTTAGCGATCCGCCAGGCCGCTTTGGGGCTCCCGGACCGAATCGTGATAGAGGGACGGGCTCGATGTCCGAATCATCTGGAAAGCAGTTCGTTAAAACTTAGTGAAAGGAATTCCGAGTCTAAAAAGACGCTTTTCGTTTGCCTAATTTTCGGGATTAAATGGCGTGTTCGATTCACGACAGTTTTGAAAGTTTGATGCCGTTTTGTACCGGCGTGTTCGAGCCCAATCAAAAAAGGGTTTTTTTACGTAGTAAAATGTGGTATTTTCAAGCCAGTTCAGAAAGTTCCGAGCGCATCCAAAACACAAGCAAAACGATCTCCAAATCTAAAAAATACCATCGTCGGTCACTTCCTTCTTGATCAAAGTCCGTGTCGGATCAGTCTGTTCTTCGGTTAACGCTGGCCTTTTCAGTGACCCATCTAAAAAGCAATATTGTTTTATGGATCCACCACTGACCAAGTTGCCGCTCACTATCGCTGAGCCGTAGATGAAGCAATTTCCGGCCGAGATTTGCAGCCTTGACCGGGAAGCCCATCAACCGCCCAAACTTCTGATCGGCTGTCAGCTCCACAGTTGCAGGCTCGGCAACTAAATAGGAAAGCATTTGCAATAAAATCAAAGAGTCCAAACCTCCGATGACCACGTCAGTTGTCGAAATATGGTGCGCTATGAGGAAGTGGTGCCGAAGGGAATCGAGGGAACAGCCCGAAAATTTGCATTTGTGGCAGTAGTGGCGTGCATGGAAGTCTCGCGACCGGGGGCGCACTGGGAACGCCTATAAAGGGTAAAGGTTCTAAAATTCTGAGCGCTACCTTTGAAGGGTCATCAATATCAGCCTCCGAGTCGCAGCCCTTCAAGTGCTCCCTCATTTTTCGCTCATCCAGCACGAACGCTTGGCAGGTGATCTTCAGACAGAAGAAAACCCTAAATAATCATATTTAATAGTTTCTAAAAACGCCACACTCACTTCCTGTGATCAATGTCAGCCTGTTTGATGGATTGGCGATCGAAGCGCAGCTCAAGGTTGACGGCGAAACGATTGATGATGTCTTGGGCCATCGGGCTTTTCTCGGATCGGCCTGGCGGATCGGAAACGATCGCGCATGGCTCTAAAATAACTATAACGTACGAAAAGCCACCAAATTTGAACGAACCTTTTGTCGGGTTATGATCCTTTGACTGTTCCACCAAATCCGTGAAAATCACAAAGTCGGCCGGATTCTCGAGTCCGAGCTTGCCCATAATTTCCGCCAACTGCGCGTTGCCTTTCCACTTTGTCGCCCAATTCTCGGCGGTCGTGTTTTCCTAAATAAAATGCTGAACAATCGAATGTTGACCCTCACCGCGCCCTCAGTCGCTTCCAACGGCTTCGCATTAGGTTTCTTCTTCGCTACGGCGGATTCCGTGGAGGCACTCTGGAAAAAATATAATTTCACATCAGAAAAACTACCGATTCGGCACGGTAGGCGAGCGACTTCAATTCCTTTTCTACCTCCGCCTCTCCGCGAGTGCCTTGTTGAATTGTCGGGAGATCGGTGAATATGGCAGGCCTAAATAAAATTGCAAAAATCCAATAAAACGACAAACTTTTCAACGCGTGCGGCGGAGCTCGTCCAGTCGCTCATGGCCATGGCTTGCCTTGGGATGCTGTGGCATTCGATGAGGTGCCGACTAAAATCATATAGATTTAGAAATCTGGTTCTTTCGCATGGGAGGAGGGGAACACAACCTTTATTTTATTAATCAAGAACTGCCTAATAACCAAATAGGAAGTAGTTTGATAGTAGCAAGTATTGCCATAATGTTTTTAGTAAATAAAACTATATTTTAACTAGAAAAAACCATCTAAAAACTTTGAAAATTTCTTCAAAAGATTTTGGTCGAGAAATCTTTATTTTTTGCATTTTTCAATAAGAATTTGTAATTGTCAGTCTTACGTTTAGAAACACCTCGGCAATTGCAATTTAAAAAAGTTGGTTCCTAACAAAAAGATTGCCCGCCCCGCCCCCCGATAATGCGAAACCGAAAATCTCAAGTACGGCTTACTGGAAAACGGCGGGCAGATAGAAGTTGCGCTCGCATTTTGGACACATTTGGCCGGGAACTTGCGGGTGGGCCTCCCTTCGAAAATGGTCCTCGGCATCCTGCACCGTATCGAATTTGTCGATTTTGCAACTGTCGCACGAGCTCTAAACAAAATCTATAACTTTCAGACGCGATTCACCTGGACTTCTGTGCAATAGGTGGGGACGTGCCGAACATTGACCGCTTTTCCAGAAAATTCGCGAGATTCGAACCAAACCGCTACCGAGACGAGCTCTTCCATCGGGTGGTTCATCTTGAAAAATTTTTTTTTGCAAAGTAATACAAAGAATACCATAAAAGTTTTGAAGTTGTCTTGCTTTGTGTAGGCCGTATAGTCACCGCAACTGCTGCAGATCATAAACATCTTGACGGCGACGAGTGCAAGCTGAAAAAGAAAATGATAGATTTCGGTATTTTAAACCCTATGAAAAGCATACCTCTCCTTTCTTGCGGAATGTTTGATAGGCCTTGCACTCGTGTTTTTCCAGAGCTTCTTGTGATTGGAAGGCTTGCATGCAGCAATGGCAGCCGAATAGGTTGATTCGCGCGTGCAGAGTCGTGTGCTCCTAAGAAAAGACTACCGTAAACGTTGAACAACTTACGAGCACGTTTTTCGGTGTATTTTTGTCGAAACCGTTGTGAATGCAGAGGGGGCAGCATCGTTTATTGCCGGTGATAGCCTGTAAAAAAAAACTTTTTTTTTGCACGTTTGTTCAGCAATTTATCCCCTATTTTATAGAATAATATATTATATATATTTTAATTTAATAAAATAAAAATCTGACATATCACGCATGTCCAGAAACTCTCTTTATTTCTAGCTGCCCATTCAATTGAGTCCTCGGATCAATGAAGCCCCTTTCGCCCTTTCACAATTTCTTGCGGCATAAATTCAGCTGTTCTCTGCGGCTCTCAATCTGCCCCTCACTCTCCCTCTTTCCCGAAAAAGAACGCGTGGCACTGTGGTGGGGCGCCCCAGTTACGAGTAGTCGGCCTTGTCGCCCTTACATTGGCTAAGATTCTATTCTTAATCTTGACATTGACCACATCAATTTTCCAAATTCCAGTCTAGGATGCTTTTGAAACAACCAAGCAAAGAAAAGAGCAAGGAAAACCAACGGCTCGAGCATCAGCGGCACGGCCGGCTTCTTTGTCGTATCTTACGACGGCTGATGGGCGAGAAATTGAAGCGTCAGCCGCCAGCGCCTCGACGAGCTTCTCACCGGTCAGAAACCATTGCTCTAAACGACGAAGAATCTAACGCAAATAACAAACATACCTGGAGTTGAAAGGGCCTGTCTTTCACCACGTTCTTTCTCATCTAGCTGTGCGACCTCATGCCAGGGCAGTGCTTGATACTGAAAAAGGCTTAATAAGCCTAACTAGGCATTCAGCACACCAACAAGATTTTTTCAGAAAAGATATATTTTCCGCCGACTAAGCAATTTAAACTCGTAAATCGGGCGTGAAGCCGTAACAAATCAACCAAGAAAAAGTAAGAAAAGCCCTCACCAAATGCCAATGCGCGGCGAGCAGCTCCGCTCGCTCAGTTCCAGACTCGAGCGGTGCTTTGCTAAACCAGCGTTCTGAAAGCGGTACGTCGCAGCATACCTCTCCAACATTTTGATAGCTTTCTTTTGCAGCACCGAGTCCTTCAGGCTCGTCAAAAAGGTGCTAGAGGCGTGCGCCTCCAAGCAGCCGAAGAGCGCCTAAAGCGATATGAAGGTCCGGACCAACAACCAAACCTCTTTGGGCCTTCCCTTCAACATTCTGAAGTTTGGTCTTTCACTAAAAATGATCATTTTTCGATATTGGAAGAATTCGCAAAATGAAAGCAGAGTGATTTGGCAACAAGACGCGGAAAAATATAATTTTCAGTCTTCTCATGATCAATTATTTTCATAAAATCACTTAGAAGTCGGAAATAATCAAAATGTAATGGAAATTTCAGCAAAAGTTCAAAAATGCTGCTCACGGGATGACTTTTTGTAGAATCATGAAATTTCCGCAACGACATTTCAGCAACTCGCGAAAAGAGTGTGGAGAGAGTGGAGAGGCCAGACAGACAAACTGCATGGACCCTCGCCTCTTTCCGCACTCTTTTCGAAAGTTGCTGAAATGTCGTTGCGGAAATGTCATGGTCCCCTTTTTGTAACAAAAAAAACATAAAAGCCGAACGACGTCAATCTACGGAACATCCACTTGAAAATCGCACCCAATCTTTTTACCGGGATACGTAGTAATTTGAGTTACCAACGGGACATCGTGGCCGCTAAGGAAGTACGGACCATTACTATGCCCCAATTGTCTTACCCTAAAAAATGGACTATAGTATCCGGCCGATTTCTCGCGACCACGATAAAATTTTGCGGTTTCATCGTCATTTCTGGTCTAACTCGACAATTTGCAACATTTTAAGTGGCCACATGATAGGAATCTACCACGGAATACTCGAGAACCGCGTTTTTCGTCATGGTCTTCCTTTTTTCCGCTGTTTTAATGTGTTTTCCTCAGCGGAGATAAATATTTGATGAAGACTAACAAAGTTGGCAACTCACAACAAAGAAAAAATAAAGGTTTTTGGAAAGAATTCTCGCAGGGATTCTTAGTTCAGGTGAGTGTAAATAACATGTTCGGGAGGAGAGGGCAAAGGTTTTTGAAGATCAGGTTTTTCTGGAAGTCTTTCGGCGGGCTTCCATTTTGCTTCCGAGGCTTGAAGTGGCTTATGTCTTTACTTGGGTCTTATGTTTTGAAGCGTTGCGCTTAGAAATGTGATGATGAGAAGCATTCACAGACTGCCTGCCGATCTTCATTGTTCTCGGCTCTTCTAGCGAATAGATAGCACGGTCTCCGGATCCGATGTCTTAAAAGTTCCGATCGCGTTTGTAAGAATCCCTGTGCTGGCGGGAAAACATTTTGTTGACGCTGTGAGGCAGTTCGTATTGTTGTTTCTCAATGTTATCCACCCTCCGGTACCGCAGATGTTTACGCTTGCTTGGAGGGCAATAGGTGAGTAGGTCGGATTGGCTATTGGTGTCAAATTCCCCATTTTCTGGGGCCACCATCCATCTGCTCGTTTAGGTCTTCGTATATTACTTGGCGGTTAATCTTCTTGCTCGCGTTTTTCAACTTTTCGCCTTGCGACACTTCTTCGGGAGTGTAGTTCTTGTTTTCACATTCCCTTCACTCGATCCGCTTCACATGACTTCACGAGCAAACACATGCAGGTAATCGGTGCGACAGGAATAGAATGAACCAGATGAAAATTGGAAAATTATAAGCAGCGACCCGAGCTTTGCACACGATGCGGTTTAGTTGGCAACCTAGCGTTTGGGCCGCATAAAGTACAGCTTGCATTGCAGTCAGGGATCCTCCTAACATCATGAAAGCCTGACGTTGCGCGCTTGATCATTCAACTTGATGTTCTTCGTCTAGTCCCAATGAGCTTGTTGCCAACTATCCCGTTGTCTTCGTTGTGCTTCGTTCAGGATTTGGCAGGTGCTGGTGTACAACCTTTATCAACCCCGAGGTCGTAGGAGCGGGGTGTGGACGACTCTCACGTGAGGTCGCGGCCCTTTTTAAAGCTCCCGCCAGCGTCTGGGCGCTGCCCCGGCCTGCGTCTCTGCTGTGTATGTAATGGATGCTCTCCTTGTATCGCATACTCTCTCGCGGTTAAGGCATACCCCGGGGCCGGCCGCACGTCGGGGTCCTCTCACGTTGGCTCTGTCTCTCGGTATTGATTTCGGCGGCGGGGGGCGGGGCTTAGCCTCGGGTGGGCGGGCACTCTCTGCAGCGCGCCTGCTCACTCGCCACCTCTACGCAAGCCACGCCCATCGATAAACCGGAAGAGGGCGCCCGCCGCTGGCCAGCTGCCTCTTTTTCCGCTCGCCCCCACTTCAGCCCGCCACCCCGATTCACCACGACGATAGTGAAGACGCAGACGCGACTATGCCACACAACACGACATTACGAAGATGCAGATGGAGCGCGGAAACGCAAAAATACCGACAGCCAAAATCCCGACAGCCATAATCCCGACTGCCGAAATCCCGAAAGCTATAATCCCGACGTGCCTTTTTGCCGGGCGTTTCACCCATAAATGGCCTGAAAATTTGCATTTTTGGCTCTCGGGATTTTGGCCTTTCGGGATTATGGCTGTCGGGAGTTCGGATGTCGGGATTTTCGCCTGTAGGGGTTATGGCCCGTCGGGATACTGACCTGTCGGGATTTCGGCTTTCGGGCTTTGGCTCGGGATTATGGCTGGAATTCTGGGTCAGAAAGCATACAACTATCAAATAAAGAATATAGAGTCGACATCCCTCAATGAGCTTCCAAGCAGCAAGGCAACGGCTACCACACAAATCACACATTTTTTTTATTAAAATGCACACATTGAAGTGGGCCTGGTCAACATGTGTGGCACACACATGTTGACACCGGGCCCGCAAAAAAAACTTTCATCGGTGCTGCGAATACTCACGAATCATTTTTTCCCAAAAAGGTCCCACGAACGACTGAAGAATCTAAGTCGTTCCTTTTTCAGGCACTGGTTCGCCTTTGGTGCTAATGCAGTGGGGGGGCGGTAGCATTGATAGTATGAGGTGACAAGTCGCTGCGCTTAAGCCACTTGCTTGAGCAAGACCTACCTAAGCACACCATCAGCTTTAAATTGCCTTACGAGGCCTGGGATAATTTAGGGCTAATTAGTTGGCACAAGCTAAGCTAAGCCTAAGCCTAAGCCTCTCCGTTTTTATGAAGCTAAGCCTTTCCAGAGATTTAGTGTGTAAACAACGGCATTTGGAGTTCCTTGTAGCCAAAATCCGGTTCCCCCCCCTCTAAATGCATTAGCGCCTCGTGTTTTTTTTGCGATCCGGAGACTTTCGAACAAAGCACTCGGGCGCATAAATTGTAGCCGCGGATCTTAGTCTGGCGTAGTCATATCACTCTTTCAGCTTTCTCGAGCAGGAACAATCCCTGGAATTCGACTTTCGAAATTTTTGCTCACGCGATGATTTTGACCGACGATTTGTTTTGGCTAGGCACTGCTGTCTTGTTTGTTGCTTGAAAAAGCCCTTTTCCGTGTTGACGGCGGCTTTCTGGCCTCCAAATCGTCTGGAGCAATTTTCCTGTCCGGGTTCTCCTTTTTTTACGCTCGTTGCCGGCTCTTTCTCCATGGGGACCTGTCAGAAAACACCAGGAGATGTCCAAATCAGAAAATCACCACATCTCATGGTCCGCAATTACGACCTGTAATTCCGACCGGTCGAGCAAAAATACTAGGGGGAAAACCTTTAAGGTGTATAATTTATTTATTTAGATTCTAAGTTCAAAAAAAATTGATTTCTAAAGTTATAAAAATGAATACGCTGATTCGAATGTAACTAAATAGGAAGGAAACGAGATTTCAAATTCGGTTAGACCAAGACTTTGAGGTTTCCGGTTTTAGACTATCGTTTGGTTCAAAAACGGGGCGTATTGGAGCGTCGCGTAGCCCGATTTCAGAATTCGCCCATTTTGCTCCGTTGCTGTCTGGTGACGGAAAGGCGTCTAAAATCGGTTGTGTGTTTTTGCTTACGTGATCAGCATCGTCGTTTCTGTTTTGATTTGTCATGTCATCTGAGTTTTTTTCTCGGCGGCAATTCGCGTTTTCTTTGCTGCTAACGTCGTTTTGCGGCTGCCGCTCGCTGGGATTCTGCCATGGCAAAGAATTTGTCAGAAATTTTCGGCCTTGGTTCCCGTTGTCTACGACCTGTCCACGTGCCAGCCGGCTTGCCTGGGAGGACCGCATGCCTAATCAAGGAACCTAATTTTCAATTCGTTGGTGGGCCGGCGCCCACCGCGGCCAGCATGCGCCCGTCCCCATGGCTACGAATGAGCCTGCATCTGCGATGAAGCTCCCTCAACCGGAAATGGGCAGGGGTCTTTGCCACGGCACAAAAAAAGGACCATCAGGATTTTTTGGCGGGAAACGCGAATTTGATTTTTCATAACCGATTTAAAAGTTTGTAAAGAATATGTCGCCTTGTCTATTATTTTAACTGGTGTTTTATAGCTCGAATATGTTCATTGTCCGCGATATTTCGACCCAAACTTGCTGTCGTCTTACCCTGCAACTCAAGGGCTACATTTTCGTACTATGTACGTCCCCCCAGGGCCGTGGGTTCATTTAGAATCTCTCTCTCTCTTTCTCTCTCTCTCTCTCTCCCTCTCTCTGGTTCTGTTGTTCCCTCTCGCTCTGCCCCCTTCTTCTCACTCGCTCTCTCACTCTCTCGCTCTCTCTCTCTCTCTCTCTCTCTCTCTCTCTCTCTTCGCATCCATCTCTCACGCAGCGTAGTAAAAACAATTTATCCAATCAAAAATAACCATTAAGGCACTTGTTTTGAGCATAATGCATGTTTTAAAGCACAGGATAAGGCCACGGAAGGGTTCTGAGGATCACAAGACATGAAAGCAGCGTGTGTGTATATTGTGACAAACGAGGAATGCGAGTTTCTAACAAAATTTTCGAGTTATTCTTCTGGTACGGTGTTTAGGTTGTTCAACCGCTCGAACATCTCGCGGTCGGTGGCCTTGATCAGGTCGAATTCTTCGGCCACTTGCAGGGCCTAAAAGGAATTAGAAATCATTTCCTATTTAAGTCAGATGCTTTTTGACAAATTTGGAAGGCCTAAGCCTAAGCCTAAGCCTGAGCCTAAGCCTAAGCTGATGATTACCTTCTTCGCTTCTTCAACCGAGCCAAGTCTGTTTGAGCTGTTTTTGCCCAGCTTGGTGATGGCGACGAGTATCCGGAAGATTTCCGACTGGAAAAATTGTATATATAAAGAAGAAGATAAGAGTTTTTCTGGTTAATTTTATTAGTATTTTTAAAATAGTTGATCTTTTAAAGCTATGTGACAGCGACCAAATCTTGAAGCTAATCCAAATACTTACCGCCGTAATCTCTGCGCACAGGCCCTTATCCGACTTCATGATATTCTTAATGCCAATCAGACATCGGCGTTGAATCTGGAAGTTGCTGGTTGGTAAAAGGTATTCATTAACTGATGATTTTTAAGGTATAATTCGGTACCTCGGGGTCTTCATGCATCAACATATCCTTGAAGCATTCGGGCCAGCTCTTGATCTCCGTCATAATTCGCTTACAAGCCCCCTCATCTTCGGTGAGGATCGCAAATCCACCGGATGAAGCCTGAATTCGCAGCATAGTCGGGCTACGAAAAAAATTTTGCTCTTACCCTGGCCAATCGATAGTCGTCGTCCTCCTCGCCACAGTAGAGCACCCACAGCTTCAGGCGATCTGTTCCGGGCTGAAAAAAAAATAATTGTTTGGCTATTTTTTTGAGGTCAAGAAGCTAGAAAAAAGGCTAGGCATCTTACCCGAACAGTGTCGTTGTAGAATTCTTCCAAGAACAACAGATTTATCAACAATTCTGCGGCAGCGGCGCGGAGGTGAGGATGATCTGTCATGAACCTAAAAAGGTCATTTTTATACTTAGAGTGGTATCCTTATGGATTAACAAAGTGTTAGCTAGCAAAAGCTTACCAATACTCCTCAATCTTCGGCACGGCCCTTTCCTTGATAATCCTCTTGCGGACGGAATCGGAAACCGACGCAAGGTTGGTCAGCGTAATTAGCGCATCGTAGTTGGGCTTTCCCTCGATATCCGGATGCAACAGTTCGACTAGGGGCTTCACGACCTACAGGAGATTATCTAGTATTAGCCAATTTATCAGTATCTATAGACCATCATGGTTAAAAGGGTAGTACTCACCTCATAAGACCGTTGTCCTGGGAAGCAGATATTTGGATCCGATTTTGCGCCGAGCTTCGCCAAGCAGTGCGCTGCCTTGATCTGGCCCTCCGGGGTAGCGTTCTAGAAATTCAATAGGCTATAAATAATAATTTTCATTAATATTACCTTATACAAATGCAAGCACAGCGGGGTACCGCCCTCACTGATAATCCGTCCGCGAAGCTTTTCCTGTTGCGCGAAGGCGAGGAGCGCCCTGAAAAATGGCGTTTATTGGGTCACAATTTTCAAATTTACTAAAATTTATAAATAACCATTATTTTAATCTACATACCTTGCCAATAACTCCATAGCCGCCTTGGATTCGGTCTTGTGGATCGCCACACACGCACTAATGGCTCCCTCATCGACGAGCGCTTTTACACGCTCGACTACGTACTTTTCAGCGTCGTACGGATGCGCCTCCGGGACGTGATGTTTCGAGAACTGAAACTCGGTGTCTACACGGACAAGTGCCTTTCATACCTTTGCGAGCTCCTTCATCTTGTCGTCCACTTCCGGTTTGTCGTATGAGTTCGTGAGGTTGACGTAGATGGCACCGAGGGTGAACACGCAGAGTGGGCCGGCATTTTTGGCGAGGATGAGCATGGCCTGAAGATTGGACGTGCTTTATGATCGTCTGAACTAGCTGTTCAAGTCGAAGGTACCAGAAGTACGCTAAAAACGTACTTTCAAGAGCAGCGGGTCCTCGACGATCCATTCCTTCACGTCGGCGTCAAGAGAAAGGTATGACAGGCCCTCGCAAGCGAATCTGAAGCCGACATTGCCAAGTTTTCGACGCTTCTTACCTTCGTACGTCCACCGAATACTTGTCCACATCCAACAAAAACTTTTTACAAGTAGCCGCCAACTTAATCGAGGCACCCTCCTTCATCGTTTGCTTCGAAATATCGTCTCCACCAGCGGCGGCGCATTTGCATAGACCCTGGATGAAAAGCGTACGCTATTTTGGGAAACGTACATTGTAGCTATGGGCGTAAAGCAATGCGAACAGGTATCAAAATGACATTTCAGCAGCTTTGACTTACCACAAGAGCTCGAACTTTAACGTTCTCATCCTCGGAGTCGTAGAGCTTCCTGAGGATCGGGACCCCGACTTTCAGCATAGCTGTTGCTCGCTCGTGCTTCGACACCGTCATAACGATCAGTTCAGCAGCAACTCCCTAAAAACGCCCATATTCCAAATTCCAATTTCCAAATTCCGACCTGTAGGAGCAGATCGTCACTTCCGGCCATATGAAGCATCATGGCTGTCACTTGATCGTTGGTAACCATGTTGATACCGACGTCAACGGGACCCTAAACAAAATTTATATATTTTTCCACCAGTTCGGTTTGCCGTCGAATTCTATTTAATGTTAATATATAATATTTAATACCTGCAAGAGACACGTCAGCAGACTAGCGATTTTGATCTGAGCCTCCGGCTTATCGTTTTGGGCCATCAGCGCGCTATAATATCAGTAGCTCCACGACATCTCAATAAAAGTACTTGAAAAATCCATCCAGCCGCTCCTTGAAAATGGTGCGTTTGGTGTCGAAGACCATGTCGTCGTAGAGTCGCGACAGACAAATGGCCATATGCTGGCGGGTCTCGCTGTTGACGAGGTAGTCGCATTTTTGAGGGATTTGGCAGGAAACGTCGAGGAGTGCGAGGAGGCCTTGAAAATTGTTATGGTTGCTCATTCTCTATCTCTCTATGGCTCTCTCTCTTTCTTTCTCTCTCTCTCACTCTTTCTCTCTGTCTCTCTCCCCCACCTCGCTCATCCACAAACTTCCAGCTCCACCCTCTCGGGATACCACCATCCATATGCATCAAATTCTTCGTAAAGAGATCAATGACCGTATTACGGACCTAAATAAATCTTATCATAGAATCTAATAGATCTTCTATACCTTTGGCCCAACACCCTTGTCCGTCAGCATCTCCTGAAGCTCCAGAATCACTCGAATGATCCAGAGCTTATTGCTCTCAGCGATTTCCGGATCCGGCTTCATCTCCTTCTGGCGGTCCATTTTTACCATGGCGTTGAAGACCTAAAAATTTACTTTAAAGATCGATTAAAAGGTATGTGAATGCGTCATTGGCTAAAATACATACCCTTTGCACTAACAACCCAGCCGCATCAACAAATTCCTCCACCGGCCTGGCGCACATAATTCTACAGACGAAGCGGACGCTCTTCATCTCTTCCTTGTCGTGCATGGCCAAGAATTTAAGGGCCTAAACACGAAGAAGAGGAGGACCTCACGTAGCTATAACTTTTAACCTACCCTAGCATGATTTTTCAACAACTCGTCTAGCACTCGAATCGCGGTAATGGCGACTTCCTCGTCCTCTTTCTTATCCGTGTAGATGTTCTTGATTATCGGGAAGATTTTGCCCTAAAGGTATCCGTTGATGTCATTAAAGTCCACTTTAACGATCGATAAAAACGGTAAGACTCCAGATAACCCCCCCAGCCGGCCCAGAACTTTTGTATCTCGGCTCCCTGTTCATCTACAGGTGTGTAAAGTATACCAAAATACTCGCCAGAGCAAGACGAACAGTTTGGTATACTTTACACACCTCTAGATGTACAGGGAGCCGAGATACGGTAGGTGGGGGGTCGGCTGGGGGGGGGGGGGATCTGGAGTTCAGCCATAAAAACTATATTCGTTATAACTGACCTCATTCCAAACCCTGGCCGCGCTGCTCTCATTTTCTCGTGCCAAGACGAGCAGGTTGTTCATGGCCTAAATAACGGATGATGCCGATGGGAGTAAAATACCGTCTTCTTCTGCTCCAAATCCTTGGCGTCACCATCAAAAGCGAGCTTTTGCATGTCGTTGACTTTTGTATCAAGCGAAGTGGCTTTTTTGACGAGGTCATTATTCTTTTGGACGAGTCGTTGGAGGATGGCAGTGACGTTTCTGAAGATTTCACTCGTATTATGATGCTTTGAAGATATTCATAGACGGTTATATAGCTTATTATAACCCATGATTGTGCACTTAAGGTATCCTTAGGAAAGGCTTATAACGTCATATAACTTACTTGTCCTTCGGGCTCAGCCTTAGAGCTTCTTTAGCATCAGCAAAAGCTCCTGGGATCTTTTCCAGCGCTTCCCTAGCCAGAGCTCTTCGGTATAATGCCTTACTATCCGCACCATCAGCTTCGATAGCTAAAATTACAATATATTGCTACTATTTACTATTCTATTTTATATCTACGATTAATCTAATCTACTCTTTTTTGAATTGTTGCATACCTTTGGTAGCATCCAGCTCAGCTCCCTCGAAATCATCGAGCTTCAACCGGGCCAGCGACCGATTTCTGTAGAGTGTCACTCGGAGCCCCGCGTCGTCGTCGGTGCAGAGTTGGAGGGATTCGGTGTATCTGAAGCCGATTCTTACAGAATGCAAAAGTTTTTGTACTTGTCAACAGCCTCCTGCCAATTCTGGAGTTGGACAGCCAGGTTTCCTTGGTCTCGTAACCCTTCTGCGGATTCTACTTTGGCCACCATTTTGGCGTGGCGCTGCTGGAAGGACATTTGTGATAGACATATGGAGGTAAGGAAGTTATCAAAAAAAGAGTAGACGATAAGCAAAAAAATGTAACGGAGCGAATCATCAAATTTAATTTGAGAAAATTGTGTAAGGCTGGAAAAAGCTGTTTTATACCTTTAAACCCCCAGAGAGAGAGAGAGAGAGAGAGAGAGAGAGAGATACAAGAATTAATTTGCATAAAACTTCCTTAAAATTAAGCAACCACCATGCAACGCCGCCCGAAAATCCATACCTCCAGGTGCCCAAGGGGGACCTCGAGAGCCGAGGGCAAATATTAGGGAATTGGGCGAGGATGGTCGAGGCTTGAGAAGAGGAAAACCGGTCCGGCCATCCGGATCATACAGGAATTTAGTGGTTTTAAGGGATCGAATTAATAATATTTCTATAAACACATAGGTAACAGGGAAAAATCAAGATCCCGATACGAACAATCGATTTGGTGGCCACTAGCCTGGGGGGATAGTGTAATGCTAGCGTAAGCGTGGAGAGACGGGGATCGCGGCTGGTAGTTTTTATAGGAAATAAAAAGCATTAGAAATAGTAGGAAATCAGAAGTATAGGGGATTTTTGGCTTTGAAAAAGCTGCCAGGTTACGGTATTCCAGGGGACAATATTCGTTTAATCTTAAGCTGTTTCGTGATTTCCGCAGGATACGCTAATTACGATTTTCAGACTTTTTATGGGACCAAAACAGTCGTTTCTGTCTGATTTTGAAAATCTTTAAGACGTCTCCGAAATAGATGCATTTCTCAGTGCTATATAATTGTAAAATAGTCAATCTGCGCAATTTGACATTTGAAAACACGTGATTTTCGCAAAAAAAAATATGAAATACCAATTTGAGAAGACATTTACAGCCCTTACTTCAGCTTATAAGCCAAAACTTCTGCCATTCCCGAAGCTTCGGGAACTTGCTGGGGCCCAACGTGAGAGAGTAGAGGCCCAGACGTTAGGGCCCAGGTCTGTGTAAGAAGCCGACAGGGCTGGGGGATTAAGGCCAAAGGGTTCGGGCTGGCAGACAGGCAGCCACGTAGTAATGGAAAACTACACAGGTTGGCGGACTAGGAGACGTAATTTTTATGGAACTTGTGGTTTTTGGATGCTAGAGAATCGGTTATACCTTATCAAGAGAGTAGACCTGTCTACACACTTTCAGGATGTACTTTCCGGAATCTTTGGTGACATGACAATATTTTTATAAAGTTTAATGACTTCATAACTACGTTATACTGTTAATTACTTCATAGATCGAATAGAGTGTTAGAAATTAGGCGCGGAAGATCCAACAAAAATTTTAGAAGATGAAGCCGATATTTATAAGCATCCGGTAGAATAGGCTTTTTTTACCGATAGAGAAGTGGCTGAAGTGCTAAAGGAGCACCAGAAATTTAGCAGCCTAAGCAATTAAAAAGCTAGCAGAGAAAAAATGATGAGCGCAAAACTGCTTCAAACACTTGTAAGAAGCCTGTAAACAAGCTTAACGTCCTATAAAAAGCTCATGGCCGGGCGTAAAGGTTTAAAAAATCCGATACTATGCGTAAAAGCATATGAAACAAAAGGCGCATTAATTTCGATGAAATAATCCTTATCTCGATATCCCCAAGTCTGACGGTACGCACGGACGACACAAAAGGTATACAAGCTCTCCATGAAAATCAATTTATTTCACAAACGGTCAATCAATCGGTCGATCACAATGGTTGGCCTAATGGAGGAAATCAAAGAAAAACGGGGGATAATTTAGCATAAAAATTGGAGCAGGTTGTAGCAAGTAGAACAACTTCGAATTGTGCATGGCTTTTTTGGCGTAGAACGGGGGGAGGAGGAGGGAAAATGAGGACGAAGCTAAAACCTGAAAAAATTGGGCTGGGGCTCGGCATGTCGAAGTTTAGGGTTGAGCTTAACAATTGATTAAGTAAATAAAAGGTATAGAAATATTAAAATGCGAAAGCCAGCTGGTTTTTAGCACTTTTTAGGGTGAATTTCAAGGGCTTCAAAAGTAACGTGGGATAGGCATGGATACTTGGCACGCGTCAGAGGGCGGGAGAACCGAGTGAATTTGCGATGAGGAATTCAGAGGAAAATTACATAAAAATCAGACGTTAATATCATTAACGATACTCATTCATTAGTGAAAAATCTGATAGAGTGGGGTACCCGCAAGTGGAAGAAACGTAGTGGATTGGGAAGGGGAAAACGAGGAATATAGTGAGGTTTTGAGGGGTTGGCTTGGCTTAGGCTTAGGCTCAGGCTTAGCCGAGGCTTAGGCTTCGGCCCGACCCTATGAGATAAAATTAGGCGTAGAATTCCTTGGTCGACGCCTTGGTGTATGCATATCCGGCGTACGGACGTGCCTTGGGCTCATCGAGTGCGTAGCTGCCCTCGTCCTTCTTGCGCATGCGGTAGACGATGAACACGATGATGAACACGGTGGCGAGCAGGCCGACGATGGCACCGCCGACGATCGCTGAAAAAATGGTTTTTAAAGCAATCAAAATCAGCAAAAATTAGTTTCTCAGGGTACATTGATCAGGCTGCTTTTTAGCGAAATTTTGTTGTCAAAGGTTGTACTTATTGCATTCATTTTTATCGTTAATTGTGTTCGTTTTTGGCTTAATTTTATTGAAATTATCTGGGTGAAGGGAGATCCATTAAAATCTTCGAAATTTTTTGGAAAGTTTCGATTTTAGAAATTTTCGCCAAATTTCAGGAAGACCCAACCAAAATGGCCAAATTCCGGCCCAATCCTCTTCACCCCTCAATTGCAGAGCAGTGCCCAAATAAACGCGATTATCCGTGGAATTCGAGCCGGTCACAGGGCTGGGCTGCCCCTGGGGTATGCAAATCCCGTTTATTCCACGAGCCGCTCGAGGATTCTGATACCCGTATGGCGGGTATTTCATCTCTCTCTCTCTCTCTCTCTCTCTCTCTCTCACTTTCTCTCTCTCTCTCTCTATGTTGATTGAACGGGGCTTGGAGACATGGTGACAGCTGTCATAATTTCCCGATTTTGTCCGCCCCAGCCCCCCGGCGCCTTGGGGCTCTTGTGTGTATGTGTGAAGATGGTGCTTGGTTGGGACATTGGTGTCTCATGTCCGGTGCCAAGGCCCTAATTTATCCATTAGACGGGATGGGTAAGTCTAGGGTTTGGGATGGATAACATGATGATGGATGGCGGATGGGTTTGGAATTAAGCTAATGGACGGTTGGGTAAGGGCAGAATTAGGCCGGGTTGTCTGGTCTTTGAAATGAATTTAATGAATTAAATTACATTAAATTTAATGAATTTCTAATAAGTCCATTATTAATCATTTAATCTAGATAGAGGTAGTGCTTTCAAAAAAGTTTTTGCTATTCCTAGACGCAAAAACTGTACAAATTTATATAACGAAGACGAAAAACTGGGAACTTTCGATCAAAAATCGGCAATTTCGACCAAAATTCGAGTTTTCATTCTTCAAAAAAAATTTTTGCATTGTTTTTCCACTTGAAATTTTTTTAATTTTACTAAAAACTTAACCAAATTGTTTACTACTACGTTGCTAGGCATTACTGGACTGATCCAGAAAATTCCGTCCCCCCGATAATGCGAAAGTACCCTAGTCTTTTAAAGGTGTTTGAGAGTCAAGTTTAAAGCTAAAAAGGTATGGATTCCATTTCTGAATTTCCCTAAAATCTCCCAAACCCCCTCAAATCCTACCGCCAAAACCCATCCCAACCCGATCCCATTACACCCCCATTCTCCAGGTTTCACCCCATCAAAAAAAAACCCCGCGCTAGCCTATCCTCCATTAGAAATCCCCCTAGTGTCCCATTCCGTCAGCATAAAATGCGCATCGTTTCGGGGGACATTTCCAGGGTGGACGTCCCGCTGATGCGTGCATTGTTGTGTGCCGTAGCATCACCGCCCGGCTAATCCCTAGACAGATCCTGAGTGTCGACTGTGGCCTCCCGGGTAACAACTGGGTCATCCTCTGTCACATCGGATATGTGCATTTGGGTGCGGCACCTCGAAGGTGGCGACGGTGGATGGTAATTTCGGGATTAAATGGCGGGAGGCGAGATTATAGAGGGGTCAAGAGGTGTCAAATAGCAGATATATGTAGTTTAGAGTCTACACCGTTTAAAATGGTGCAAATTCTATTTTGTCAATCCGTCAATGCCGAGCATTGACGGAGTATACGGTCACCTAGCCAAACCCAAACTTTATATATATAGAAATGTTCAGCTTGACGAGCTGGTTCAGGATCAGTTGAAAAAACAATTGGGAAACACTTTTGGAGTGAGATATAGGCGTACAAACTTTGTACACCAAAAGGGCCAAAAAAGGCCCATTTCCTTTGGATATTTCCTAGATCTAATACACTCAAACTTTACCTAAAAATAAGGCTTCGTGCCACCCGGGGCCTAGTCGCTTCGGATGGGCGCGAGCTCGTACAGGGTTTCGAAATGGGGGCGCGAAGGCCGGCGAAGCGGCCGGGGGCGCCCCCATTTCGGAAGAGTGGAGCGGCAGCCCATCCGAAGCGACGGCCCACCTTGCCTGACAATGTGAAAAGCCTCACCGTTACCTTTATTTTACATTAATAGCGTTAAAAACGCTTAAAAATTACAAACATGTATTATTGCAGAGGTACGTACCAATACAGACTACACCGGTCCGTACAAATGAGTGTCGCGTAGCCGGAACTTTCTGACAACTGAGTTTCAAACATTCATAACTTTCTTTATACATTTTTCCCAATGATTTTTTGATGATTTCCATGCATAAAACAAGCCTGTTTGGTTAGGTGACCGTATACCTAACTAGCCAAATTTGGACCCCTATATCTCGCTCCAGAAGTGTTTCCCAATAGTTTTTTCAACTGATTCTGAACCAGCTCGTCGAGCTGAACATTTCTATATATAAATAAGTTGGGTTTGGCTAGGTGACCGTATACTTAAATTTTCCCGCAAAATCGACGTGACAATAACGTGTTAATAGAGCATTAATTACCACTCTAATACCTGCAAATTTACGCCTTTTTGTTGCAAATACGCCACTTTACTAAACCCTCCCCCATTCCCGCGCTGTCAACAATATTCAAACCCCACGCCCCTTGGTTCCCATGCCTGATATACGGCGCCAGTCCCCTCCACTCCTAAATACCCTTTGTGAAGCGCACAACCGTTTTTATGGGTTTTGCCATAGCGCTTCGGGGCGCGGCTGGGCGCTAACGGGTGCCCCTATCCCCCGCCAGCCTCTCGAAATGGAGCACCGCCACATAGACTATGCAAATCACCCTTTCTGGGGTACCCCAACCAAGGCAGGGCGCCTCATTTTGGGTGGAAATTGGACACAGCAGGCGAGAGAGAGAGAGAGGGAGAGAGAGAGAGAGAGAGAGAGAGAGAGAGGGAGAGAGAGGAGAGACAAATAGCCCGTACCCAAACGCGCTAATAAGGTGGAACCCCTCCAAAGGCGGCTGTACCTTTTCGGGTCGGTTCCGGCGCCCCGGTGGTACGGATCCCTTGGCAAAAACCAGGCAAAAACTGTACAGATCATACTAAGGTATTGTAAGGTATCCCTACGGCTCAAAATATAGGGTAAGACAACTGCATACGCCCTAAAAACTTTTGTACCAACCTGCAAAGACACCCGGCTTCAACATGTGGTGGAATGGCGTCGACTCGTCGTCCCTGGGCGGAATGGCTGCCGGAATGGCCGGTCTCCGTGTCGTCCTCGGTGTCGTCGGGGCGACGGTAGACGTTAACCTCGGCGGCTCCCTCGTCTCGACCGCCTCGAACTTGACGACCGGGATCTCGGTGGTGCGTGGGATCTCGAAGATCTAGAAAATGGTATATAGAAAGCCTTTCAAGGAGCTAACCTCTTGTCTCCTGACCGCGGGGGTTGTCTGGAGGTTGATCTCCTCGCCGACGATGTACTTCTTGTCGTCGTCGGTTTGGCGGGGAGGTGCTGTAGTAGTGGTGGTGGTGGTCGTCAAAACGGGCACCGGTTGCCAGGCAGGTGCGCCGGAGCCTTCGACGACAGCTGGCATACCTGAAAAGGGGGCAAATTTGCAGGAATTATCTTTAGCATTAGTCGAAGCGGTGGTCAACAAGTATTTTAGGTAATCCCCATCAAGCCTCATCTATAATTGACATAAAGCCAACAGATTACACTATGAAAAACGCGTTAAAAAAAGCCCCAAAAGCCGCTTTCGCCGACGTTTTATGCTAATTTCGCGCCCTGATCCATTTAAAGGGCCTATGAAGGCTGTTTCAAGTAATTTCTTAGACTCACCCGATCCTTGTACAACGTCATCCTCATCATCGGTGGGGTAGCCACTCCCCTGGACGACGGTCTCCTGGTCGGGGCCCGCGTATTTTTGTACATTCGGCGAGCCGGACCCCTCGACTATCTCGGATGTTTTGGCTGCAGGAGCCGCCGGAACGATGGCCCGCTTTTCGAGTGCATTCTAGAAAGGAATAATTTTTAGTATACTCTAGTACCTCAAAACAGTTAAAATCTCGTTAAAAACGAAGCTGAACAGTTTCTAAACTACGAATACCAAATTCTGAAGGGCCAAAGAATTTCAGATCACTTGCACAAAGCGTCTCTAGTAGCTAAAAATCTGGTTTCCTTCTTAGTATAGCTATATGACCATTAAGGGTCAAATATACGATTTTAACGTGATCGACCTCCCATTTCCGTGTGAGAATCCGAGAACAAAGCGCGCCGCCGGACCGTATTTGCTCTATGGAAGTGCCGGCCGCCGATTTACGGCCATTTTCCCAGTGACATTAGCAATCCCGCGGCCGCAGATGCAAATATAATTGGAAGTGAGGGGCTTGGGAGGGGTTGGAAAGTCAATATGGGGTGTAACTCGGATCAGCTATTCTTAGGGGTGTAATGTTTTGATAGTAGGAATGTTTCGAAAGTTCATAAGAGAGAGAGAGAGAGAGAGAGAGAGAGAGAGAGAAAGAGAGAGAGAGAGAGAGAGAGTGGGTCAATGAGTAAGTGAGAGCGAGAAATTGTAGAAAGGAAATTTACCACATTAATTTTTTCGAATCCTCGTACTTAAGGATCTCTCCTTCATTTTCCCTGCCAGTCGAAAAAAAGCGAGAGAGAGAGAGCGAGAAAGAGAAAGAGAGAGACAAGAGAGAGAGAGAGAGAGAGAGAGAGAGAGATAGAGAGAGAAGAGAGAGCTCGAGTGTAGCATTTTTTTTAAAGTGACATTTTTAGCCATTTTCTTAATTCTCCTGCTCAAAAAATCCTCTCCCCGATCTCTCCCGTCCTGTAGAAGTACAAATTGGACAGCCGTCGGCTACCCGGGAGGTCGGCAACAACCCGTCGGATCGAGGGGAGAGATTGATGGAATAAATCCGCGGTCCGATCAACCCAGCAAGCCAGCAAGGTGGCCGAAAAAGAATTGTAAGGGACGCTAGCGGCGAACGTGGACGGGGCACAACTATTGACAGTTCAAGATCGATCGACCCTCTGCTTGGCGATTTGGGGCGGTTGAGGGAAAACAAGTGTTGCCAATGATGGGTCAGGAATAGCCGCTGGGGTTTGTGTTCGGTGAAAAATGAGGGTACTTTTTGAGGGTTAGGGCCTTGAAAAATTTTTAGTCAAACTTTGAGAACGTAGAAAGGAAAATCATTGTCGTAAAAGTGTAAGATTGTGTTTTAGGTCCGTAAAAATAAACTCTAGAAACCACTGGTTAAAATATCTTTCGGAGGGGCAAAAAGTAAATAATGAAATAAAATAAAAAAATAAAGAAACATTGCATACTATATATTTAATAGTAGTATGATTTTTAATGTAAAACTCACGATTCCGACGACTCCAATAGAAAGTAGAGTGAGCGATATCCGCAATAATAATCGCATGCTGGCGCTGGATGGGTTGAGTTGATTGGCCGTCGGTTTACCCGGTGACCATCACTGGAAAATGTATATGAATTTGTTAAACAAATTACAACATTAGAAAAGCAAGGAAAACAGCATTAAAATAATAGCGAGAAGAATTCTTGAAAATTCAGTTAGGAATTCAAATTTCAGGTAGGATACAGCTGGACAACAGCATTTTTCTAATTCCAGCATGAACCGTTTAAACAAAACCGAAGCGTCAAGTGTACATCCGCGTACTTCATAACTCCAAAATGCATTGCATTTAAAGCAAAGGTGGTTGAGAACACGCGAAAAAAATTATTAAAAATTAAAATGAAAAAAATGTTGATTCAAAAATCTATCGCAGACCCAAATTTCCGTATACGGCGATGAATAATAAATATTGCATTATAATCATAGTATCTTTCCCTTAAGATAAACCGCCAAGCGTCAAGTGTCCACCCGCGTATTTCACAACTCCAGAAGCACAAACAAAAGCTCCCGGGTTGACAGTAAGCGAGACTCGAGCCCGATAATCAATTGGCCCTCAAAGCGGGGATCCCGGAGGGGCGAAAGCTACCCCCTGGGTGGCTAGGCCCGGGAAACAAAACCGGTCTTGCCGGATAGACCGACAAACGGAAAGAGAGACAGACAGACAGACAGACATAGCCTCGAGAAAACAATTATTTGGCTTTGGATCCGGGGGGGGGGGTGGGTGCTGAAAGGTCGATGGATAGGAGAAGGGGAAGGGGATGGGAATCGCGAAATCCGCATTTAGCCACTGACAAACAGAGATAGAGATTGTGATGGGCCTGGGAATCAGGGTAACCAGTTAATTTCATCAATCGGATATGGTGCTATGAATCATATAACAAAAACGTTTTAAAAGCCGTAACATTGCACGCGAAAATTTGCTGCGTCCCATGTCGCAGCACCGGCCAAATCTATAGGAAATCCAAAAGCATACCCTGCGGGATACTTCAACCCAACGTTTTAAAGCGCTTTTACAGCGCAAAACGCAATTGCTAGAAAAATACGGATCAAAAAGAGAAATGGGCTGATCGGATCGCATAAACGCCATGCTTGACCGCGACTCGACCGCAACGCGTTCAAACCCACGGTCGACTGCAGTTTCTTCATAAGAGAACCGGAAAAAAAACAGAAGCTATTCAAACTCCACTCCCCGCCCTTACCACCCCAAAAATTGTTCCCACATAAAACGCCGAGCCGAGAGACACTCACTGGATGAGCAGCGAGCCCAGGAGAAGCGCAAGGCTTTTGATGTGGTCCCCCAAGTAGCCCGGGTAAAAACTCGGAAAAAGCCACGTTTTTTGGAGGGGGTTAGGGGGGAACGGCGTCCGGCCGGCCGTCACCTGCCGGCGTTCTGGATGGGATTTTGCGCTTGTGGGGGGTGTACGCTGCAATCGCTATCATCCACTTATCCACCACAGAGGTTTTATAGGTTTTTGAGGGTAGGAACGAACAGAAAAAAAGGGTGGGAAGGATCCCGTGATCCCGGATCGTAAAAGCTGGTGGATAAAGTTGGCAAGTTGGGAAGGAGTGATAAATATTTGGAGGGTAATAAACGGGGGAGTCGCACTCTCTCGCTAGCTTTCTTTTTGAGTGAGTAGCTTTTTGAGCTTTCTTAGTGAGAGAAATCTCACTATCTCTCCCTCTCTCTCGCTCTCTATTGCGTTTTCTCTCGCTGTCTATTGCTCTCTCTCTCTCTCTCTCTCTCTCTCTCTCTCTCTATCTCGCTCTCCCTCTCTCTCGCTCTCTCTCCACGTCTCTTTGCCTAAGCGCATGAATGACTGGTTAAGTTAGGAGTAGCATTAGTAGTCCATTTAATAGGAAAAAGCCTGAAAAACTATTTTTTTAAACCTGGAAGGTTCAATTATACTAGATACGCTAGATACCTTAAAAAGCTATATACTTTTTAAACACTAAACAAACAATAAAAACCCTATGAAATCGCTACCGCACACTAATATCCACGTAAAAGGGTATCATAATATCCCCCCAGGGCACCCGAGTCCCGAGATGCAAGAAAAAGTGCCGCCCGCAGCGGGATGATGAGGGTCGGTTGGCCCGACATGAGGGCAGGAACAAATAACGCAGATAGGGAGGAGAGATCACGAGAAATAGCGAGAAAGAAAGATAGCGAGAGGGAGGGAGAACGGCGGAATTGGGGGGGGAAAGGGTGTGTCGACCAACGGAGGAAGGGGGAAGGGTGTAACAGACCGACTGACGGGACTGACACAAACACACAGACAGACAGACAGAGGGGAAGAAGGACCTCTGCTCGCACCCCCCAGCATTCACCCTCATTTGCATCAACACGCAAAATGGGGGGAGCGGGGGTCAGGCGTGGATCGAACTGGAGGAAAAACGTTTTGCGAATTTTGGAAGTGGTTGCGATCGGTTTGATAAAAAATATCCTAAAAAGACTAATTTCGAAAATGCGAAAAGATGTCGAAAATCATACTGTCGAAATTTCACTTTATCGCCATTTTCTTTTGTCGCAAACCGTTTTACCAGGTAAGATTTCGCGAATTTTTTGCATGTCTGGGCTGAAAATTTTTGCGCCAAAATGAAATTTCGATTTGCTAAAATAATGGGAAAAATGTCATAATGTCAAAATTTCATAGTGTCGAAATACAGAATATCGAAAATTTTTTGAATAGGATTTGGGGTTTTCTAGGAAAAATAGCCTACGTAAATTTCGACAATATGAAATTGGAATACATAACATTTCGAAATTATGCATTGCTACCTTACGAATTGCGGCATTATGATCGAATTGATAAAAACCCGGAAATTTTTAATCCAATTTTTTTGAGCGGCCAGCAGGTGAGGTTATAAAATTCTTTCCGGCGTTCTGCCAAAAATTCGGGATCGGAACGACCAAAAAATGCTAATTTCCATGGCTGGGGCTTGCTAAAAGATTACCGTAACCTTTCAAACATTTTGCTACCGTTCACGGCCTCACAAACCCAAGTAATCTATTTTTTAAAGGTCCGCCTAAGCCCCCATCCCTTGAACTTTATTACTTCAAAGCCACCCGCCAGCCAGGGGCGCCATTTAGGCCACCACCAAATATCCAAGACTACCCGCCGCTCCGTTGTGGTCTCTATGGCGAACGATTAGGGAAGGGTTGGGAAATTCCCCTCAAAAATAAGGCAACGGATGTGATATTCGAAAAAAAGAGCGGAAGCCGGCTATAATGATGAGTCAGAGGGTGTCGGGAGGTATCGAAATGGCTTGTGAGGGGTTTTAAGAGAGAATCGGCAGGGTCATCGTAACATAAGGCTTTCAAGGGGTCTCGTCGTCGGCTAACGGTATTTAAAAGATTTTTAGGTGTAAAAAAATATCGTCAATTTGACAAAATTGAGCCACAGCCCTTAAAATATACAGAAATCGCTCAAAAAGTCAAAAAAGCGAAACAATAAATGTTATAGGCATAGAAAATTTGTATTTTATGGTATCGCTTGCAGAGCTGGATCGCTGCGTGGCACAAGAAGATAATAACGAGAATAGATCGGATTTTGATCATGAAAAGCCGCAACGGCACGTTACAGTACACTACGCACCGTAAATATTCTCCGTTAAAGTAATCCAGAGTAATGTTCCGTTATTGCATTTAGGCACAACGACAAAAAGCACTCGCCGAGCCCTTAATATCCATATTTGGCCGCCCAGATGTCTTCTCTGCACTCCCCCGTAAAAACTGCGCATTTGAATGGCGGGCGGGGGGTCAGCCCGCGGGCGCTTTTTGAATATGAATACCTGGGAGGGAGCCTGCCAGAGAGAATTATGCCCGCAGATGAGTCAGAGTTGGGAGACGGATTTTTGAAAGGAGCAGAGCAAAAAGCATGTGACAAAATTTTCGGTGTTTGAAGAAAAAAATCATGCCTCAAAAAGCACCAAAAATGGATGGAAAAGAAGCAAGGTACAGATTTGGGATAAAGAAGACACAACTGTCACTAGTACGCGTTCCGGCAAAAAAAGGGTTGGCGAGAGAGAGTGAGAGAGAGAGAGAGAGAGAGAGAGAGAGGGGGAGAGAGGGGCAGAGGAAGCGTAAGGAACGGTGCCACTGCTCGTGGGCACCACCGAGACAAATGAGGTCCTGGGGTTGGCGGATGGCCCGGATGGGTGAGAGAGCGAGAGAGAGCGAGAGAAAGAAACTAGAGAAAAAGACAGAAATAAGGTGCTGAGGGCCGTACGAGCCATCTGCGGTTCTCCGGACAGCCGGAAACCGTCGGCAAAAAGGGCGCAGACCGTGTCCACCACCGTGTCTTTTGCCACTACGCGCAGCTGTAAGCCATGGCTGTCGCAGCCTTTTCTTGCTGATGGATATTAATGTGTGTATTCAGTTTGAATAATAGCAGATTTGGCGAGCGTTCGATGGGGGCGTTGCGCGTCGTTTGACCTCTGAAATTCTGGGGATTAGGAGCGGAATGTAAACTTCACATGAAAGTGTTGAACTATGTGCGTTTAAGGAAAAGATAAGTAAAAAGTTTCCCATTGAGCGGATGGTAGTATCATTGTGTTTTGGGGGGTTTTGGGTGTATCGCCGGGCGTCACATATCGAATGTGATGTACGCGATGGAGAGGAGTATATGGCCCGGGGAGGAGGAGGAGGAGGAGATGGAGATGCGCGGGCATTCCCCGGGGGAGAACATCTCATAGTAGAAGGATGAGGAGGGGGGAGTCAGAGAGAAGCAAGAGATGGGGGATGGCATGGAAGAGTGATGATTGTGATAGAGAATGAATGGACGGGCCGGATGTTGGCAGTACAAACTCGGAAAGAGTCAGTGTCGCTCCAGTTAAAGGGTACTTTCTCCCACGCTCTTTCTCACTAGCTCCTTTTATCTCTCTCCCCTGCGCGCTCTCTCTCTCGCTCTCTCTCTCTCTCTCTCTCTCGCTGTCTGGCTCACCCTTTCTCTATCTTTCTTCCTGTCTCTCGTTGTCATTATCGTTTTCTGTCTCATTCTCGTTCT